CATTCCCCTTGTGAACTAGAACAAGACAAGGATGTCCACTCTCACCACTCCTATTCAACACAGTTCTGGAAGTCTTAGCCAGAGCAATTGGGCAAGAGAAATAAAAGGCATCCAGATAGGAAGAGAGTAAGTCAAACTATCTGTCCTCATAGACAATATGATTCTATATCTAGAAAATCCTATAGTCTCTGCCCAAAGGCTCCTAGAACTTATGACTAACATTTCTATGATTTGATTTTTTTGCCTATTGTTTATCCTAATACTCATGTTCCATTTTGGAAATATTTTCTTGGCATAGGTTTACAGTAATGGAGTTACATGGCTCAAAGGACATAACTGTTTTTTAGACTCTTGATCCATATTGCCACATTTTGTTCTGAAACAGCTATCCTAATTTAGTGCTACCAGCTATATCAATTAGTACAACTTTCACAATATTTTTTCTACAATTGGGTACGTTTAGCTAATTTAATAGTACATTTAATGGCCTGGTGCAGTGGCTCACGCCTGTAATCCCAGCACTTTGGGAGGATGAGGCGGGTGGATCACAAGGTCAGGAGATCGAGACCATCCTGGCTAACATGATGAAACGCTGTCTCTACTAAAAATACAAAAAATTAGCTGGGCATGGTGGCTAGTCCCAGCTACTCAGGAGGCTGAGGCAGGAGAATGGCATTAACCTGGGAGGCAGAGCTTGCAGTGAGTTGAGATTGGGCCACTGCACTCCAGCCTGGGCCACAGAGCAAGACTCCATCTTAAAAAAAAAAAGGAAAAAAAAAGAAAAAAAAAATACATTTAGCTAATTTAATTATAATTTAATATGCTAATTTAATAACACATGTTAGTTTTTTTCTGATTAGTAGAATGGTTATTTTTCCATATATTTGTTTCTGGTTCATCTTTTATAAATTATCAAAATATTTTCTCCCTTTTGCAATACTGTGTATCTTAATAGCATATTTTTAAATCAATTTGGGTGAATGAAGACATTAACATTGTTACATTTACTCCAATTGTGTATGTTTTTTTTTTTTTTTTTGGTCCTGTTCTTTTATTTTGGTTATCTTAGAGAAGTTTTGAAATTTAATAGAGCTAATTCTGTCTGCTTTTTATAAATTCTTAAGCTTAAAAAGTTGCCTAACCAAAAGGAATACAAAGGAAAGAAAGAAGAAAGTTTCCCTATTGTCTGAGGTTGGTAAATGTTACATTTGTTCTTGTCTTCAGGCCTAGCCATTGCGTTAGCTAGATGAATATGCTCGAAGGTCACAGTCAGCTCTCCTCAAGGAGGCGGCCAAATGAGACGGGATCAACGCATGGGTAGAGAGCTTAACTCTGAAGAGAAGAGCCTCTTTCTCTGGGTTTAGATGATCAAGGATTTGGATACATTGTGAGTGCTGAGGCAGGAGGCTGACGTAGTCCCATGTAGAGAGTGAGGGGAGGGAGAATGGGTGTGATAGGACATCCTTGCCGAATTTCTTCATTGTAGACCCAAGCCCTCTTAACACTCACCATGCAATTACTAGTGTTTTTCCCCTTTGGAAATAACCTGGGACTGTTAACTGTTGTAATGCACTAAGACATATCAAGACCTTCCTGTGCTTTTATCCGAATGAGAAAATTTACATAATTGACACAAAAGGGACTTGTAAACTGTTAATAATACCTGTAAAATTCCTTTTAGAAGTCTGTATAAAAATTGTTTCTCTTGGCTCCTTACTGCTGCTACTAAAGAAGAGGAGCTTGACTGTTAAACCCTTCACAAACGTACAGGGTTAAAAGTAGCTGGTCTCACTGCTACTCACTTCTGCTCTAGTAGGAGTTTCATATGCATCCAGAAACTCCTCCACTTTCATCTCCTCCTACCTGCCACACCTATGCCTTTCAGTAGACACCTGGTTGCAAACTCCGGATGTCCTTTTCAAAGAGGCCCGGATCTAGATTTGCTCTTTTATATAAAGGAGAAAAAAATAAGAGAAGTGAAACCAGTGTAGTGGCATTCAAATATTGTATAATTCTTTGTCAATCTCTTAAAATGCGTCATCATACTTGCATATAGTTCTATAAAGCCACTGCATAATTTAGCCCCTTGCAACATCCCATTCACCGGCCATTTTCACTTCTCAGAGACAAGTATTTTCAATTTTTAAAATTATTTCTTAATGTTTACCTTTTATCTCTAAATAAAAAAGTTATCTTTTATTGATACTTTTTGATTGTCATTAAGTTTTATGCATTATCTGCTAATATCCCTTTATGAAACATGAGAATTTATTCTCCACATACATGAATTCCTTTACCCTCATCCTTCCAATATAATTGTACGATAATTTGGGGCTAGACCAATTCTGTTTTGTATTTCCATAACTATGTAAATATGATAAATAGCTAACTCATATAGTATATTATAGTTACATTTGCTTTCTTGTGTAAAAGGTTTTGGTTCTTTGGAGTTATTAGCTTTTTCTACTTGCACAGCTTTCTAGGTACCTATCTCATCCATCCCTTAACTCTTACAAAAAGGTATGTCTCCCTTTAGCAAGATTCAAACACAATGAGCACTTCATCAGCTTCATCTTCTTGGATGGAGACTGTTCATTCTGTGAGCAGACTGGGCTGTTTAGTGTGGCTGTTCAGATCATCATCCTCACTTCTAGGCTTTTGGCTCCTTAATTGGTTGTGAATGACAGAGGTAAACTCTGGATAAGTAAAGTGGTACATGGGTTCAGAATTTTGGGAATTTTCTAGTATTCTACACAAATAGAGAATCTAAAATGTCTCACCAATCTCTTCTCCGGAATGAAGTGTTTTAGTAGGTGCCGTCCTAAATTTAATGCCTGTTACTTTTCTTTTCATCTTCCCTTTTCACTTCATCAGGATATCAATATCCTTAGCACAAGATTCTATAAATAAAATACTTCACTGACTTATTAACCTTTCCTCAAACTTTAGGTAAGGTAGCAGTATTCCCCTCCCTCCCCCCACCAACATATTAAATAAGTAAACACACATTGATATCCAGTCTTGAAAAACTTGCCACAAAAATATATTGCTGGTGGCACTAAAACTGACATAAGACTCTCTGAACCCCCTCACTTAAAATCCTTGCCTGGCTGTTTGTATTCATCCTAAACAATTATACTGTGATTTTTACCCAATCCTACTCAAGGCCTGCTCATTAAAAGATCCACCTTAAACAAAACTCCAGAATTTCAACAAAATCTGATCTTACCCTTTGCCATAAGACACTACCAAAGCTCTGCTGAGGTGGGTTTCTCTCCCTTATGGTAGGGAGCAATGAACTCAGCCCTGTATCGTCAATAGATTGTGTTGATGACTGTGTCTTTGAGGAACTAGCAGTTAACAATTTAGAAAAACTATGTAATATATATGTGTAGAAAAAGGCAAAAGGAATATGTAAAAATATTAATAGTTATGTTTGGGGATTGGTATTTTGCTACATTTTCCAACCTATTTTTCTGGTATTCGTTTTTTTGTTGTTGTTCAGATGGAATCTCACTCTGTCGCCAGGTTGGAGTGCAGTGGTGCAATCTCAGCTCACTGCAACCTCCTACTCCCGGGTTCAAGTGATTCTCCTGCCTCAGCCTCCTGAGTAACTAGGACAACAGGCATGTGCCACCATGCCCACCTAATTTTTGTATTTTTAGTAGAGATGGGGTTTCATCATGTTGGCCAGGATGGTCTTGATCTCTTGACCTCGTGATCTGCCCGCCTCGGCCTCCCAAAGCACGGGGATTGTATGGTATTCTTACATAATGAGGGCTGGGCTTACTTTAATAAATAAGTAAGAATTCATTTCAGTACAAACCACCTTTCAATGTGCACAGATAAAACAAAGGCAAAGCTACGCAACTTGTTGTTCTCTTTGTTGTGTTTTGTAGAACAGTTAGTAACAATCCAGGGAGAAACCTACTTATGTAGGAAACTGAGCTCTTCCTATTGTAATTATGCTTGTAGAGTCCAAAACTGATGGGCTCAGTTGTAATGTAAATAACCCAAAAATATTCCAAAGTCACTTAGATAATGTTGAGAAACAATCAGAAAGACACTGACAATGGCCTTTATTTTTTGTGTTTTTGAGACAAGAGTCTCACTCTGTCACCCAGGCTGGAGTGCAGAGGCATGATCTCAGTTCACTGCAACCTCTGCCTCCTGGGTTCAAGTGATTCTCCTGCCTCAGCCTCCTGAGTAGCTGGGATTACAGGCACCTGCCACCACACCCAGCTAATTTTTGTATTTTTAGTAGAGATGGGGTTTCACCATGTTGGTCAGGCTGGTCTTGAACTCCTGACTTAAAGTGATCCACCAGCCTCGGCCTCCCGAAGTGCTGGGATTACAGGCGTGAGCCACTGCACCCAGCTGACAATGGCCTTTAAATGGGTTTTTGTATTCAATGAGGCTGAAGCTGTAGACAGTGGTTTTCTTGGCACTGAGTTACATAAATGTCTTAAACCTAATACAATATTGATACATTTCACCAAGTTAAAAGCCAGGCTTTATTAATAGAAATCTTATAGTCAATGGGGTTTTCAGTGTATATTGAATGTATATTTTCTATTATTTTATGAAAACTAGGGAGAAGAGTTGGCATGCAGATAGATTTTTACCACAGCTGTCAACAGCAGCATTTAACCATGCCCTTATATGCTTGGAATTATCTGTTTTATGTCAAGTTTTCTGATGCAAACAAATTTTGATGGTTTGACTTAAGTTGGCTCTGGTTAGGGCCAATGAATGGTCAGCCAACCAGGTAAATGCTACCTTCTCTATGGGATATTAACCCATATTGTTTGTTACCTTTCCAGTGATTGTTTCCTATGGCGTAAGTGAGCTGTAGTGAGTGTGAAATGCATCTATCTGGGCACGACAACACAAACAGGATCTGTCTAAAACAGAAGGCTAGAAATCTCACTATAATAAGATCAAGAGTCACTTCTATTCCAAGTAAAGACATGCTGATGATAGGAGTAAAGACAGAAATATTAAGATTAATCTGGTAACTTTATTTAATATTTACCATTCAGCAGCAACCAACATGAACATGTGGGCTAACAGAATCTCTTAAAATGTTCTGCTATGTAGCTGCTTCAGAAATACACACACATGATAAATTCAAGATAAATTCAACTGCTCACTGCCAAAATTTTTTTAAAAAAATGGCTCCAAGAGCAAATAACACTGATTTATACTGTGCCCAAGCACTAGTCAACAAATCTATTAAATTACACAGGAAAAGGAAATCAAGGAAGCTTTGTTATCTTATGCATGTCATCTTATTTAAATGGAAGTTTTTACTTCTTTAAAGCAACAGAAATATGGAGCTTCACATATATATGTGTATATATATGAATGTGGTTACAGACACAAAGTGTTATCAAAAGCAAAAGCTAGTTGAAAAAATTTCTGACTGCAGAACTTGCAAGATACAAAGCTAAAATGCATATGTTCCTTTTCTCAATTATGAACACTTTCACTAAACATAAATATTTAACATATATTAATTTTTCCGACATTCAAAATTGTAAAGTCAATATGGCAGAATTGTTAAAAGCACATATGTACAAATATTCTTTTTCATACATAAAGTATTTGGCATAATTATAACAATCATACTGCATCAACAACTGTTTGCTTTTATTTTTACTTTTTTTTACACATAATGGTATCTCTTATTAAAATTAACCAGTTATATACAAAAATACTTGAACATTTATTATAGAAAACCTCTATAACCAGCCTCAACAGCATATACCTGCTGAATGGTTTCATTAAGAGAATATAAAAAAGTGGTCACTGCCTTCCAGGTAAGCTACCAACGAAATAAACATGGTTAAACTAAAATGAGCTTCCCAACAAAAGAGGGAAAATATTTAACAGTATGATTTAAAATACAGTTCATATCTATTGTTAATTGAGTGTTATAAACAGTCAGTAAAAGAAAAAACAAAGATATAAAATACATTACTACAGACAAGGTGCTTTTTTCACACTTCTACAACTGTGGCATTAGCATCCCTACCTAGATCTAAGATGCTATGTTGCAATATTCAAGCTAGAGAAGTCTACAGCAACCCTCCTTCAACAGAAAGACGACAGGTCAGCTAAGACAAACTCCACTGGTAAAAGTGGAGAGTCGTGAGGAATTTTTTATTTTGTGCAGGATTGAAAGTTAATGCCCTTGCCTTTGATAAGTCCTTTTGCCATTTAATCATGCTAATACATTTTCACTAAGTTTTTTTTTTCTTCACTTAAGCTATTAATTTAATACTGTCCCGTATTGATTCCTGAATTCTTGCTAATGGGGCACAGTCATTTGTGCCTTTTTAACACTTGAGCACTTGCTCTTGTTCAATGACAAATTTTTTATAGGAAACAAGAAAGGAAGCGCAAAATTCAAGTAAACATTTCTTCTGGAGTCTCTTGCTTAATCGAGCTGATTGGAACTCTGAAGCAAATTGCACCTTGAAAAGAAATACAGTAGATACCATGGTGTCAGGGTAGTAAGGGATTTAGCAACCAATTTGCGAAATAGCATTTTAAGAATGTAGACAGCAGTCAAACAGCAAAAGCAACCTTAAAGAAGCATTTTGTTTCAAGAACAAAACAATTTCCAGTCCCAATCCTTGCAACCCTTTAAGTATACTGTCTTGCTCACCTGCTTGAACTTTAATTCTGATGATCTGCACTGATAATCTGCTCAGGGGAAGAGCCAAAACCCTTGCCTTATTTACAGAAGTCTTCTAAAATAAGGACCACTGTGTTAGGATGTACACTGACTTAATAAGCTTCCTCCAAGTATCAAGTATTCAGTAAAAAGGATACAACATTGTCACACATTGTACTGTCTGACAATATCGTATTGGTTTTAAGATTAAACTATATAAAAAAAAGTGAACATAAAAAGGTACAAAAGGAGTCTTTATCACTATTTACCACTTTCAAATGAGAAACGTTTTAATGAAATTCAGCCATATTTCATTTAACATCTGGCGTTTTAGATCAGCAACTTTTAATATTGTGCAACATGATATTAATAAGCAAGTTTTAATTCCATTCATCGAAGGATCTGAGTAAGTTATTAAAGTGCCTACACTAAATGTCTTCTCATCATACTTCTTATTTTGTAAACGGGCAAAGAATGCATCGCAGGTACATAGAAAAGTGACTTATAACTGAGAGACCTTGCGCGGCAGGGGCCTGGGCCGCGGGCCGGGGTCAGTCCTCCGGGCCCCATTCTCCAGGTGGCTGGATCGCGCTGCCAGAGGCTTGGGGGGCAGCGCGGGCGGCTCAGGCGTGACGGGGATGGAGAGGCTGTGAGGTAGCGGGACAGGGCGCCGCAGAGTCCGCTCGTAGACGCTGTACGGGGGCGGGGTCTTGCTCTCCTTGCGCACCGGCTCCTCCCCGCCGTAGCTCGGCACAGGCACAGGCACAGGCACCGGCACTGGCACCGGCACCGGCAGGGGCACTGACTGTTCATTCACCTGATTTTCAAAGCCTGAGGTTTCCGACGTGCTGCACCGGCTGAGAGAAGAAATCCCACTGCTGTAGCTGCCCGACAAGACGGGGGAGTTGGAGATGAGTCCTGGTGAGTGGTACTCCACCGGAGAGGGGGTAAAAGACTGCACAGAGCCCTGCTCCGGGTAGAAGGAAACGAGAGGGAAACACAGTATTGAGTCGTGAACGCAGATGCGCTGAAATGCGCGCCCCCATGCGGAGGCCCCCAGAACCCCCAAAGCCAGCTGCATGAGGAGATGCAGCCTTTAAAAAGGTGATTAAGGTAAAAGGTCATTACGGTGCATCCTAATCCAAGCTGACTGGTGTCCTTATAAGAAGAGGCATCTGGACACACAGGGCGACGCCAAGAATGCGACACACAAAGACCTTGCAGGAAGGGCGGTCTGCAAGCCCAGGAGGGAGGCTTCGGGGAAACCAAGGCTGCCACGCCTTGATCCTGGACTTCTAGCTGCCAGAATTGAGAAAATACATTGCCGGTGTCTAAGCCACCCAGTTTGTGGTATTTTATGGGGGAAGCCCGAGCAGACTAATACACTCACACTCAAATTTGAGTGTTGTCCTTTGTAGCACTGAAAATGCACACCAGACGTTTATCTGCCAGGGCCACCAGTCCTTGAGTTCAGTTCACCGCCCAGTTTACTCCTTATTTTCAGATAGAGGATACATGAGCTAGGCGTGGTGGCTCACGCCTGTAATCCCAGTACTTCAAGAGGCCGAGGCACGGATCACTTGAGGCCAGGAGCTGGAGACCAGCCCGGGAAACACGGCAAAACCCCGTTTCTACTAAAAAGTCCAAAAAGTTAGCTGGGTGTGGTGGCTCATGCCTGTAATCCCGAGGATGACCTGAGCCTTGGGAGGTTGACGCTGCAGTGAGCCGTGATCCACCAGTGCACATGAGACTCTGTCTCGAAAAATAATTTTAAAAAGGTACCCACCAAGATAATTTGGAGGCACACATTAGTCCTATAGTTTGGAAGAGAGGAACTGGCCAAAAAAAAAAAAAAAAAAAACTAACACAAAAACCACCATACAACCTTTGGGGGCCCTATTCACCTTCCCAGCTCAGCAGGGCATGCTACAGGCCAGGAGCCAGGGCCGCTGAGCACACTCAGCTCAGAGGACCCAGAGAGCTGAGGAGGAGGAGCAGAGGCACCCAAGGTCCTGCACCTGATTTCTCCAGCCATCACTCCAGACTCCTGAGCTGAACTGGCATACTGGCAGCTCCCGGGCTGTAGCCTGAGACGTGAGCTGTTTCATCAGCAGGGTTTTTTAAAAACCTGATTTAGTTGTTATTTTTTAACATTTCACATTTCACATGAAACTCCAGAATTCTGGCAGTTCATAAGGAGCTAGAAGTTCTGGCCACAATGGCACACATTCTCTTAATAGAGAGAATCTTTAAAAGCTGAGCAGGGGCTGTCCCTTTTCACTGTGCCAGTCCCCACTATGCCATGTGGGGACTATGCCCAGCCTCCTTCCTTCATTTATGTCAGCTGTCTGGCTCCATTTGGCATCTGAGTTTGTTGCTTTCCCAACTGGTATCCCAAGGAAAACGAGTCCTAAGAGATGCTCTGTGAAAAGAGGGTTCTGCTGGGAAATGCTGCACACCGTATGCTCCTTGTGTATATTCAAAACATATTCGCATTTTCAAGTCTTAGAATAAAGGAATACAAATAATTTTGTTCAGCCCAGTGTTTTCCAAACTTACTTGACTATAGACCTTTTTTTCCCCGCTTATTACATAATGTCCTGGAAAACTAATGTTCTGTGGCATACACTTTGAGAAATGCTATCTTAAGCTAACTTTACTTTGGTCTCTCTTTGTAAACAAAATAACGCTGGTAGATATACATCCTGTCATTTAGTAGGAGCCTAAAATTAAGGCCAATTAAGAGTTCCCAATTCACTGCTACCTCTGTCAAAAGTTAGACCTGAAATTCAAAATATGGCAGGTCAGCTCAGTCTTCGCTGTAGGGTTAGACCCATAGTTTAATGGCTGGCGGGGGAAAAAATTCCCAAAACCCCACTAAACTCTATCAGTTAGGGCAGCACACTGCAAAGCTAGTAACATGGTAGCAGTATGCCCCCTAATGTAACCCAGGAGATATAACACAAATGTTCGATCTATGTTCTTTTCCTTCAAACCCTACGTATAAAGACATGGGTTCGGACTGTATATGGCCAGTAAAAATATATACAGGTCTGCTGAAAGACAGCATATACCAGCTTGCTAACTAAGACTATTTCATAGCTATTCAAACATTTTTAGCCCTTGGGTTCTTTTTAATGTTTAAGAATTAATCTCTAAGACTTATTTTCTTACTACCCAACAAAAATTAAGTTGAAAAATACAGATGGTAATTCCATAGCAACGTGTGGGAGCTCTGTGTGAGTAAGAGTAAATGTAAAAGTGTGGAAAAGCCATATTGCTTTCCTTTCCATCACATCGAGGTGACAGGCTATGGCTTCCAGAGTGAATGCTGTCACAGGTACTTCATAATAACAGCTGCATTACAGAATGAGAACAAAATGAGCCAATCACTTGCACTTACCCGCGAATTTCTACATCAGAAATTTTGGCAATGCAAGGGAATCACACTTCTTTGCAATTTTCTCCATTTTGCGGAGGGAGGCGGATTGTTTTCCAGTTTCTCAATTTCTATCAGCAACTATCGTTAGCACCACAGATGCATTGGATCGCAACCTGCCCCTATGTATTTGTAGAGGCTAATTTGTCTTTTGAACATTAGCTAGAACTAGCTTATCAACACAAAAGACACGGAGCGTGTAAATCCTGAGTCACTCAGGTACAAAATCATTCTTTCAACACACTTCATATTTGCCTCTGGTGCAGCAGTTCTGAACACCAATCTCTCACGCACGGACAATCCTTGAAGCTAGTCTGATTCAATTTGGATAGAGACTAAATATTATTCTTTATCTTCATGAGGGACTTTTTTTATGTTTAAAGTTGTTAAATAGCCCATGTCTGCAAACCAATTCAAATGTCTGACCTTTACAACTTTCCAGTTTGTTCCCTAGAAATGTTTAAAATCCATATTACTGCCTTGTTTTTCATGATCAAGTATGTATTTCTAATGTAAATGAGAAACTTGGTATAAAAATATTAAAAGAGACTGTTAGGTTTGGCTTTGATAAAATGGGTGAGGCTGATGATAAAGGCAAAAAGACAACAGAGAATATTTAGTAGATCTTGATAGTGATGTTTCTCAATCTAAGTGTGTGTGTGTTTGATGTGCCTGAAACTAAAAGGCCAGGCTGAAAATTTCCTAGGAGGTACATTAGGACCACATTCCTTTCCTAATTCAGTATATGCACTGACTTCAGTTTGCAAGTTCTCACTGCTACCATTTGGAGAATGAGGCTAATCATGGAAAAACAAATGGCTGCATTCGTGGAGGAGGCACCCAGAGGGGAAAGTCCAGTGTTCTTTTCTTACCCAGCTTCCCCTATCCCTGCTTGATATGTTCTTTGCCTTGTCCCTGCAAATTAAAGCACCTTTTGATATATCCGGGATGAGTCTTAGAGAAAAAAAAAAAAACCTGGGCCAGTCTCTAGCCTCAGTTGAAAGACGGGCCTTTACCTTCAATGGAGATCGCCCGGCAGGTGAGGGGGATACTGATGTCGTGTGTCTCGCTGGTGAAGCTGTCAATGGGGAGAGAGATAACATTTCAATTAAGAAAAACCAGACGATTGACTATCTGCACATGCTCTCTGTGTTACAAACCCAGATAGATGATCCAGTGCATAAAGACCTTCTAAGCAAAGGGGGTGGTGAGGATGGGGCAGAAGCTAAATGATGCCTATCTAGAATGGGTTCTCACAAAGGGCGGCACCGCCAAGATATGGGAGCATCAGCAAAAAGTTATCATGGCATATATGATGCTTTGACCAAATGACAGGTTCCCAAACTCATCCAATGTCCTTTCCATTTCCCCAAAGTTCAGGTGCTTCTGCACTGCTTGCTCTATCTCATAAGGTGCTTTTAGGTGTGAGGTGCTAGGGAGCAGTTCTTGGGGAACAGCTGTTGTCTTTGACCTAAGCACCAATGAGAACACCATGGCCACCCCAGCAGCCTGGAACAGGTCTATGGGAATATATTGAATCAGCTCCCCCCAACAACTCCAGTACTCTCCACATAGGTAGAAAACCCTTGGCCATGGCCATACAAGAAGTGCATGGTTTTCCATTTCTTCCCCTAATGCTTGTACTCAGGTCTTCCCATTATCCCCTGGTGGTGGTTCTCTATGGATTTCATCATCGTGGCCAAGAAGAGTGAACTGTTTGCTTTTTCTCTCTAGATTTTCAAGTCCTACTCGTGGGACACAGCATGTGTGATAGCATTGCTCCTGTGTGCACGCTTGTGTAGCAAATCCAGCTCTCTAAAGCACAGTCCTGTATGGTGAAGGCTGGCCGTGACACAGTCAACAGGGCGAGGGTCAGCCACATTTCTCAATTCCACAGAGATGTTTCGGTGAACTCTGGGCATGTTGCTCTGTGATTAGCTGCCACTCTCCCAGCTGTCACAGTGAGGTTTGTAACTCGTAACAAAACTACTGAAAGGCTGTAAGGAAGAAAGACAGTTACAGAGCCCCACAACAGTGACCACAGATGATGACATAAGAACAGAACATGAGAGCAATCAGTGCAGAAGGGATGGCAGCCCTGCCAGTGAACTTGGGAAGGGTAAGGTCACCTGTGTGCTCTGGGTCCTAAGGGGTCAGGAAGAGTGCTCCATGATCACACTGCTGGTATGCAGCCTCTCTCTTGCTGGATCATGCTGTCAGCATGTGTCACATTCTAATAACAGCATTAGTTCTCCTGTCCTGTTGATTGTGGGTGATGATTACGGAAGAAAATCATGTCTGTAGGGAGAAGCTGATCCTGATGGGGAACTATATTCCTGCCTTAATGGTGGCAGAAAGTTTATTGTTCCCTGGGACCCTCTTCCTCTTGACTCAGGCAGTTGCTGACACCACCATGGTGGCCCCTGCAACCACAGCACATTTGCAGAAATATTTCTCTGGAAAGGCGATTTCCCATAGCAACCTAAAATAGTTCCATCAGTATCCTTGTCTTCAGGTTTGAACTGGCCTGGAAACCTAAGGACCATCAATATTACTCCTTAAAAAATGTTTTGCAGGTTCTCAACTTTAGGGACACAACCAGGTTTAAACTGGAGACTGCCTGAATATATGTACATTGTGAATGAGATACAAATAATTTGGCCGATAAGTTTTAGGCCTCTGCACACATACTGATATACTAATGCAGGTCATCAATAAGCTTAAAGTTATATCTTGTTTTCTTTGAAGACCTCATATGCCTTTCAAAAATTACTGGTGACTTGACTTTGGGCTTTGACAAGTAGAGAGTAAATTGGGTGGCACACAGTTTATTGTATTTTGTTGCAGGGTCTCACTCTGTTGCCCAGGCTAGAGTGCAGTGGTGCACTCTTGGCTCACTGCAACCTCTGCTTCCTGCGCTCAAGCAATTCTCCCACCTAAGCCTCCCAAGTAGCTAAGACTATAGGTGTGTGCCACCACGCCTGGCTAATTTTTGCTTTTTCTTGTAGAGATGGGGTTTTGCCATGTGGCACAGGCTTGTCTCAAAACTCCTGGGCTCAAGTGATCTGCCTGCCTCGGACTCCCAAAGTGCTGGGATTACAGGTGTGAACTACCTTGTCTGGCCCACAGTTTATCTTAAAAAGAGGTAAAGAAGGATGAGATGCTAGACTACAGCAGATGAAACATGAATAATCTAGAAACATCTATGAAAGAAATCATGTCATTTTTTGTTCTTGTTTTTAGGCTAGTTGTATTTGTAAAACTTCACATCCACCATAGACATAGGTAAGTGCTGAAGAAACTCTCCCATCCAGAATACGCAAAGCTAGTAAAACAGGGCAGGCCCCTCTTAAAAATGGCCCCACATGTAGGTCACCAAGCAAGTTCAGGAGGCAAGGAGGCCTGTTATTGCTATAAATTTACAAAGCTTAAGATCCATTTTCAGTGGTTCTTAAGATCTAGTGAGCAGAAGGATCACTAGATCACTGAAAGGTTTCATAACAATACAGATATTAGGGTCTTACCCCAGAAAAACTTAGATTCTGATTCAGTAGGTGTGAGGTTAGAACTGAGAATTTGCTTTTTTATTTATTTTTTTTGAGACAAGGTTTGACTCAATGGCCCGGGCTGAAGTGCAGTGGTGCCATCTTGGATCACTGCAACCTCCGTCTTCTGGGTTCAAGCCATCCTCCCAAGTAGCTGGGACTGCAGGTGTGTACCACCACACCTGGCTGATTTTTGTATTTTTTGTAGAGACGGGTTTCGCCATGCTGCCCAGGCTGGTCTTGAACTTGTGAGTTCAAGCGATCCACCCACCTTAATCTCCCAAAATGCTGGGATTACAGGCATGAGCCACCACACCTGGCCAAGATTTTGCTGCTTAAACCACCACCTGAGCGGAGGCAGTACCCTGAATCAACCCTTTGAGAAATATAGTCCTCGCATAAAGACCTCTCAAAGCAACAGATAACTGCGGATGCAAAGTTAATGACTCTGATAAGCTTGTGGAGCATAACTATTAGTCAACAGCTATTTAGAGGCAACTGGAAACTTTGGCATCAGGCCTGAATAAGACTGAAGAAAGAAGCTGAGTTAGCAGAGGTTGATAAGAATGAAGTGGTTCAAAGTGAAGGTTAGAGAAGATGCTAGTGACCTACCAAGGTTAGGGTGCCTCCCCGAATTTGAGAATGGTGGCTTGGTAAAGAGCACTTTATAAAATCTGAGAGGCTTACTTGGAACGGACCATTGTTTGACCCCGTGTAATAGAAGTTCAGGAAAGAGGGAGACAGTTGTCAAGGAATTACGCAGCTACTAAGGTTTTTATCCCAGAAATCAAATGCCTACCTTTCTCTCAGGAATTCAGGACAAGCTGGAGTAGTCAATAAAAGTTATTTTATAAAAGTGATTGTTCAAATGCTTCAAATACCCACCAGTCTGTGTGGGTCTTGGAGGGACAGGGGGAGAGATAAGTTTCCCACTATCCGACATGTTCTTGGCTTCCTTCCCACTGTCCAGGCTCCAGCTGCTAGGGGTGGGGTTCACAGCTGGAAGGGAATAACACAGCTAAAAACACATGGTCCAGCTTTGCCCTTCCAATGCTTGAGATCTTAGAAGAAAGTCAGAATTATCCAGAATGAAAAATTAACTGGATGAAAAACAAAACAGGAAACTTGTTGAATACTAAATCTTTATTTAATTGGCTGCCTAACAGTTATAGTTACCATTTAACTGGGCGCTAGCAAGTCTCTTCATTTCCCTTAGTGCTGTCAAAGGGAACTACAAATCTTTACACTGGGGTGTAAAACTTGCTGAGAATTACACATGTATTTAGATGCTGGATAACAGACGGAAGATGTAGTCACTGGACTATTTTAAAACTTGGTTTTTAGTAGACATTTCTGGACAAGTGACACCTCAAAATGGAGAAGATAATGACATACTAATATTTTAACTATTTGGCAGAATTCTTGGGAAAGAACAGCCATGCCACATTATCTCATTGATAACTCTTTGAGGAAAGAACTTTCTGAAATCAATGAATTACACTGAAATATGTCCTTCAAAAATGATTTGGAATCCTGACAGTATCATTCTTATTTTGTAATTTGTCTGCTCTGTGCTTCGGTAAAATGCAGGAATATACAGCAATCCTGGCAGGAATAAGGGCAGGATACGCTGGTTGTAAATAGCCTCTATGCAATGTTTACATCAAATCTGAGTTCCAGTGACTCACTCCCTGTACAGACACTGCCATCTGGTGGGCATGTTGAGAATTTTAACATTTTACCGCTCTCATTTTCATTTAATGGGATGGAGTTACCCCTCTTAAAATTCTTTTTCTCTCTTCTTTTAAATTTGCATTGTGGTTTTCTTTTCTTTTTTTTTTTTTTTGAGACGGAGTCTCGCTGTCTCCCAGGCTGGAGTGCAGTGGCGCGATCTCGGCTCACTGCAAGCTCCGCCTCCCGAGTTCACGCCATTCTCCTGCCTCAGCCTCCCGCGACAACAGGCGCCGCCACCGCGGAGACGGGGTTTCACTGTGTTAGCCAGGATGGTCTCGATCTCCTGACCTCGTGATCCACCCGCCTCGGCCTCCCAAAGTGCTGGGATTACAGGCGTGAGACACTCCGCCCGGCCTGTGGTTTTCTTTAGTAGAAGGGGTGAGAAAAATACCACATTCCTTAGTTCCGACAAAGATCAACATGTGACTTGTAACATTAAAGCCAAATTTGTGTTTTAAAATAATTTTGCCTAAGACTTCACTAATTTCCATCTTCCAAGGAAAGTTCTAATGTATCGGTGTACCCAAATGACTATAGTTTATTTCTTAATGAGGTTAAGAGGGCAATTAAAAGGCACTTTCCCAGAATATTTCATTAACAACTCTTGACTCATTGGTCTGGGGAACTGCTCTTATTTTTGAGGCTTGACCCTGAGAGAGGTGAATGGGTGACTTGCTGCAAGCCCCGACCTGTAGCTGAGGAAATCGTGTTTAATCTGCTCTTCATCTTCTGCTGTCTTGCAGACTAATCCTAATTGGCTATTTACTGCTATCCATGTGTTTGGTTCTCATTTTGTGTGACCTTGAGGCAGGGCACACTCCATTATGCACTGGATTGCAATTCTTAAATGGCATTTAATTGTACAAGAGCCGTATCTGAGTCACAACAAACAACACATGAGTTGGCTGAATGAGCTTTGTAAGGGAGACAAAGGATGGGACCACCGAATCGATCTGGGAGAAGCTATTTTCACGGTGCTGAACAAGGAGCCTAATTGGCAACTTTGTTTCAGGAAGAGGAGGCATTGCCTGGGTGACTCACTGGATGGTAACAAAAGACCATTAAACATAGGCGTTCCTATCTTGCTCAGATTCTGCTGTTAAAATCTTATAGGAAAACAGCTTTTGAAAAATGATCATGAATAACTGTCTTTCATTAATCCCCTAAAGAGCATACCAGTCCTGATCATTAAAGCGCTAGAGCACTGCTTTCCACACAGACACACAGAAGACTGGAGAACATGAGGATAAAACAAGCCCTTACACATTCCAGGCCTGATCATGCGGCTGGTCTTACCTTTTTCAGGTGCAGAGAGATTTGGGTCACTGCGTGGCAAGGCCCCGTCTCCAATATGATTAAACAGCATCCTCTGCAAAGGTACAAGGGTTGATTTTTATGATGTGATATACGGACATGTGAAACCTTTTAGAAAATGAGATGATTATCCCCTCACTAAAACTTTTGATTCAAAATAATTTTTATATGATAGGATGAGCCTAGGAACAAAGAATTTAATTAGATTTAAGTAAAAGGGGGTGGGAAGAGCCTTAGGTTTTGAGAAAGAGTGTTTGAAAAGTTTGTATTACATTTTAAATGTAAATGGTAAATGTTCATAATAAAATGGAAGGTAAAAAATAAATAGTAAATAGCAGTTGTGCTATGAAGTTCTTTTTTTTTTTGAGATGAAATCTCACTATTATTGCCCAGGCTGGTCTTGAACGCCTGGGCTCAAGCAGTCCTCCCACCTTGGCCTCCCAAAGTGCTGTGATTACAGGCATGAGCCACCACACCTGGCCTGTACGGAGTTCTTTATAAATACAAATACTACAGTGGTGATATAAAACAGAAGTAAGAATTAAAGGAGAAATATTAGTTCAAAAAATCACTTGCGAATGAAATTTAACCCCTGCATGTTAAAAATCCTTTATTAGGTTAAAAAAAATGAAATAGTTGATAGTCTACAATTTTTAACTTATAAAAATGCCAGTTTTACATGGTTTTACCTAATATATTAAATAGAAAGTACCAAGTCCTTAAAAGTAGATGTACTACAGCAATGCGCACTATTGAAATTTTGGCAACATATATACTGCTTCCAATTTTGCTAAAACCAGAAAACTTGGGAGGCTAATCAGAGAAGGCTTTCAGAGTTGCCCATGCTGGCAACAAGTTCTCCTGGAGCAGAACAAACTGAGAAATTCCCTTGCAGCATCATCAAGTGACAAAGGGTAATAGCTAGTCCAGCCAAATGCATTCAGATATAATTTCTGCAAGACATCAGCGCTGTGCAGAGGCGGTACCCCGGGACTTTCGGGAGGATCACACAATCAGCAAAGACAAACCAATCAAGCCAAATCCCACTCGCGTTCATTCACTTCCAGATGCGGCTATAGACTTCTGCCAGGATAGTGTAGAAAAACAGAGAAATTACCTGGCGTAGAAATAACTATTTTTCTCTGCTCCTAAATTATTCCCAAATAATCTTTAAAATTCAGAGGCTACCCATGAATCTTCAACTTTGAAACCAACCTTCAAGGCTCTCGAAGTGCCCAAGGGCTGAGCCCAAGTCTCTGCTCTCAAAAAAACAGGGATCACTTCAATACCAAGTTCAGGCAGGGGCTGAGGGCCATGCTCCCTTCCTCCCATGAGGAGTTGACAGGGAAAGGCCAATGACTGAACCACTCTTTTCTCATGCATTCAAGAATGGCAAAGGCAAACAAATTGCTCCTATACTCATGGGTACCCAGAAAGGAATCCGTTGCAGCTCTTTTAAATAGGTCTAGGCAAAGGCAAAGACTGCTGGGCAGGAGAATGCTTCTCTTCAAGGGTATTTTCCTAGTCTAAGACGTTCCCCCAGACTTCTGTTACATACACAGGGCATGCAAACACACACAGGCACTTTATTCACCCAACTACGTTGCGTAATGTTTAAGCAGCAGCAATGAAATAGATCAAGGAGGGTAAATTTCCCATTTCCCTTTTAGCTTCACTGCCAAGCAACTACCATGTGTCCCTATCAGAAACACGGCTCAGGGCCAGGCATGGTGGCTCATACCTGTAATCACAGCACTCTGGGAGGCCGAGGCGGGTGGATCACCTGAGGTCAGGAGTTCGAGACCAGCCTGGCCAACATGGCAAAACACCGTTTCTACTAAAAGTACAAAAATTAGCCAGGCGTGGTGGTGTACGCCTGTAATCCCAGCTACTTGGGAGGTTGAGATAGGAGAATCGCTTGAACCTGGGAGGCAGAGGTTGCAGTGAGCCAGGATTGTGCCGCTGCATTCTAGCCTGGGTGACACAGTGAGATCCTGTCTCAAAAAAAGGAAAGAAAAAAAAGAAACACGGCTCAGGCAGAAATTTCTAACCATGGGCAGCAGACAGAGGTGCACTCTTCACCAGGTGGATTGGTCTGACAATGCCCAGCTGCTTGCTTTCGGCAGCTACCATGTGTTTCTGCAGAGATATGTAAGCAATTCCAGAATCGTCCTTGTTTTCTAGTTCCTCTACCCTACAAGGATACCTGCGAAGGCTCCACGGGTGTTGGATAGATGGCACTGCATGGTCTCTCTCTTGGGGACAGGCAAGAGTTTTCTCGGGAATGTTTGTGTTTGTCAGACAACAAAGGAGAAGCTGGGAAGAGAAGGAGAGAGGAGCATCAGCATGGTAGTGGTGCTGCACCTGTCTGGAGAAGAGAGCCTGAACGCGTGGCAGCTGGCCATAGTTCCCAGGACTAGAATGTTCTCTGGGCACCCTTGGTCTTCCCCACACTCTGGCACTGACCTCTGGCACTCGATGGAGCAGAACTTGTCACATTAGGTGAAGCCGAGTGAGTAGAACTCAAGCTTGAGGTAGATGGACTTGGCTGGAAACACACAGGGAGCTATTATCACACCCTGATTAAAGGCTGCCCACAACACTGACATATTTGAAACAAAATCATCAACTTTTTTTTCAAATCAGCGGGAAAAAAGTCCATTTAACAATATAGAAAAATCTTAATAACTTAGATTGACAAAGAAGTCTGCATGAATTAATAAAAAGTCTGAGATTTTGACTCCTGCCAAAGGAATGCCTTCGTGTTAGATTCAGCTACACACTGTGACTTTGTACCAGTTAGCAGCGCATTCCTTGGTTGAGGTGTAAGTAGACAGACTTCCAGCCTAGGGCCCAAAAATAGGTGGGTATAAAATGTGCCTTATAAAAGGCATAAAATGTGCCTTCTCGTTATCTGTAAAAGTAAGTTCGACCGGGCATGGTGGCTCACGCCTGTAATCCCAGCACTTTGGGAGGCCGAGGTGGGCAGATCATGAGGTCAGGAGATCGAGACCATCCTGGCCAACACAGTGAAATCCCGTCTCTACTAAAAATACAAAAATTAGCCGGGCGTGGTGGTGCACACCTGTAATCCCAGCTACTCATGAGGCTGAGGCATGAGAACTGCCTGAGCCCAGGAGGCAGAGGTTGCAGTGAGCCAAGATCGCACCACTGCACTCCAGCCTGGGCGACAGAGTCAGACCCGTAAAAAAAAAAAATAAATTAATTAAAAGGCAAGCTAAGAGGCAGCTAGTGAGTGGCGACACACTCTGAGAGTCCCGGACTGCAGAAGGAACTTGGGGCAGGTCTCAGAGCTGAACCCTGTGCAGCGTGCCTGGGCTTTTCCATCGCTTGCTGATGTCGTCTTAGAGCGATGGGGCAGTTTTAAGAGAAACGTCTTTGTAGACTCTAGAGACCCATAAAGCAAGAAGAGTGTTTAAAGGTTTGTCCTTAAGCCAAGTTCTTGCTTGTTGGCCTGTTCATCAGCACAGCAGAATGAACAGAAACACTCATGACTGAGACAGAAAAGGAATAAACACAACCAGACAAAAAGCTAATTAAGTACCTGCATGTTAAAGACTTCATCAGAGCTTTCTGATTGCCCTGTAATATTGCTTACTTCAGCAGAAGCTTGTGAGGACAGTGAGGAGGAAGAATATCGGTTGACAGCTGGGTAACTTAATGGGCTGTTTCGGGGGAAAAAAAAGGACATTAACTCAGTCTCCAAATTGTACTTTATCATGTGCTAGAATGCTATGAAACCAAAGGGGGGGGGGAATATATCCCATTTTGTTTTCTCCTGTTTGCCTCAATATAATCAAATGTTTGAGTTTATTTCTCACGCTGTTGCTGTTTCACCAGTGGCAGATGTCTGCAGCTGCCTCGTGGGTTAGTTATTTCATTAAGAAATAGCATATTTGACAAATTGTGCCATAAAGAATGAGAGAACCATTCCAGATCATCTTGTGGGTGAGGCCAAATTGTAAGACAATTTGGAATATGACTTACCTGCGTCTAGGAATTACCCTGGTACCATCTGGGCTCACAGAGGCAGGTGCTGAGTTTCTACACACACGAGGGCTTCCATTAGGAAAATGGACAGGACTGGCTTGCATACAAGCAGAGAACTCCTAAAGATGTAGTGAAGGAAATATCTCATTACAGTAATGATATGGGCAAAATTACTGATGAGATAGGTTAGCATACTAGACACACATCCTAACTGTCATCAAATCTTTACATAGGGAGCTATTAAAGCAAGTTCCAGAATTATTTGGCTTTTCCTCGCTTACATTTGTGTTTTCCCAAAAGGAAAGCCTCGCAAATAGCAGACAAGGCAATTGTATTTGAGGGCTCCCTGGTAAAACAGTGCAGTTTGGTAGAAAAACCAAAAGATGTCACTATTGGATATATCATCATCTCTTTAACAAGCAAACGGCAGTGGTCAGGCTGCCCTGCCATGGACACCTAAGTGTACATACCTGTATCCCTAAGCTCGACTTCATCACAAAGAATTGGTCGACCAGCTTTTTGTGAAGGGGTCTCATATCTTGAGGTACAAACTTCTCATGCACGGCCAAACCAAATTCCAGAATCTGTGCCTTAATTAACAATATAAGGAAAAAACCTCACATCAATGACTACCTCTCACTAAGTGCCTGCTATGGGCCGAACACTTTACTATGCATTTTGCTTACATTACTGCTAATCCTCTGCCTCTGACAAGGTAGGAACAGTTGTCACTTTACCGGTGAAGAAAAACTGAGGATCTGAAAAATCCTTCATGGATAAAAGACAAATGGGGATTAGAACTTGGTTCTGATTTCAGACTTAATTTTCCTACTCCCCCAGGCTTCTTTCCCACGTATTTTAGATCTATAATTACAATGCTTCGTAACAGTTACGTGTCTTTTGGACACTTCCTTCTCTTCCCAGGGTGGAGAAGGAATAGGGGTGGGCACTGCTCCCTGTTAAGAGGGCCGGCAATTCTCCCCTAAGGATCTCTTCTTTGCATGGCACCCTCTCCCCCACATTTTCCTTCTCTCCCCCATCGGGTTCCTCTGTGCTCATCCATCCCTCCCACAGACTTTCAGAATCTGCCAGGGAGGATGGAAAAAACGAAAAGGAATTCTATGACAGTTTCTATGCTTCTTGTTTTTGTTTAAAAAGATTATTCCTGGCCAGGCGCGTGGCTCACCCCTGTAATCCCAGCACTTTGGGAGGCCAAGGCGGGCTGATCACAAGGTCAGGAGTTCAAGACCAGCCTGGCTGACACAGTGAAACCCTGTCTCTACTAAAAATACAAAAATTAGCCAGGTGTGGTGGCACGTGCCTGTAGTCCCAACTACTCGGGTGGTTGAGGTAGGAGAATTGCTTGAATCCGGGAGGTGGAGGTTGTAGTGAGCCAAGATCACGCCACTGCACTCCAGCCTAGGTGACAGAGCTAGACGCTGTCTCAAAAACAAAAAACAAAAAAACAAAAAAACAAAAAAAAATTATTCATCTTCACTTATAATTCAACAAGACAGCAGGTCCTACTTAAAAAACTTTCCTGCTGTGAGGATCCGAAGAGATGAAGGTAAACATTCAACCTTTCTTTGTTCAACCATCAATAGTGTGTGATTCCTTTGATTTGAGCAGCAGCTGTCCTTTGTATTTAAAAAATGCCCCCCATGCTAACATGGTCAAAAGGACAAATTTCACAGACTGGGAGGAAAATGAATCCTACATCACTACAAGGTTTTGTTGTTATTGTTGCTGTTTTTAATCTTTGCAGCTTGTGAAGATTTTAGGTTGAAAGCTCAGGTCAAACAGGACTGACCCTGGCAGGCTGGGGCATCCAGCACCTTCCGTAAGGGACAGGGCTCTGGATGCTGCCCACTGCCGGCACATTTGCATAACAAATATCAAGGATGCCTTTGAAAGGCACAGCTGGAGTGAAGTGTGTCTGAGGCATAAAGGGAGAGGCCACATCTGTGATGAGGACATGGAAGGGATGTAGGAGGTGAATCTAAACATAGGGGCCCCTGTCTTCTCCATTTTAAACACTAGCGTTAGGTGACTTCCCTTTTGTTCACAGATTGTTGCAAGTTGCAAGTGTGCTGGGAAGCAGACTCCAGCATGGAGATCATAATGTTTATAAGGGTGTACCTTGGGATTGACTGATGCCTGTCAGGGGGAGGGACAGAAGCCGGACTTGACAAGAAAAGAAGTTGGGCTGCACAGCAGTCCTGTCAGCTGCTGCCAAACCCAAGGGACCTCTGGAACGTTTTTAAACATTTATTTGTATTTTAATCTTTTTAGAGACAGAGTCTCTCTCTGCTTCCCAGGAAGGAATGCAGTGGTGTGATCATAGCTCGCTGCAACCTCGAACTCCTAGGCTAAGATGATCCTCCCACCTCAGCCTCCCAAGTAGCTGGGCCTACAGACATGCACCACCACACCCAGCTAGTGTTTAGGTTTTTGTAGTGATGGGGTCTTGCTATGTTGCCCAGGCTAGTCTTGAATTCCTGGTGTCAGATGATCCTCCTACCTCAACCTCTGGATCCTTAATGGTCTGTTTGAGTTGTCCTGTGTTGGGCCCAAATGGCCAGGCTTTCTATTGCTTCCTCAGTCTGGGAAGTGCACCACTGAGAAGGTAGCAACCTTGGGCCAAGTGGCTCTCTGCAGCCAAGGCAATCCCTGAAGGGCCTGACAGCTGGAGATGTCTGTCGATAGCCACATTTCCTGCAGCTGAGGCAGCGTAAGGCTGTCCTGGAAGAAGCATTGGGGTGGTGCATGTCCCTGTCCTCTAGAGAGTTTATCTGAACTACTTTGCAGAGGTCCAGAGAAGGATGGTGCCCTCTCCAGTCCACCTCCCCAGAGAGATGATGAGACTTGGCCAAGGTCACATTTACAGTCATATGTGCACTGCTTGTCTTATAATAGAAATCTCACATTTCCTAGGCCATGGCTCTTTCCACGAGGTTTCAGGAACATAATCAAGCAGGACATAGAAGAAATAAAGGTTCCCTGGTTTTATTTTTCTTGGGAGTCTTCTTGATGCTGAGCTACCATTTAATTCTGGGGAAATAATTCAGTCAGGCTGAATCCAGCAGATACAGTCCTGGGGTGAAGTGAACCATTCATAAGAGGTAAAACACAGATCTTTAAAAATCAATGAAGGTTAAAGTCATTGCATAATTCTAAGTATTGGATGACCTAAACTGCTCACTTCTAGTATCTACAAACACCCAGAGTCACATTGGGAACTTGACTTATTCTTTATTTCCTTACAGATCAGCTTCAAGTAATTTTTCTCTGTCTTCTATGGCCACCTCTTTCCCTGCAGTATTAGGTTTTGTGGACTAAGCCTACAGAGCATAAAAAATGGATGAAAACCAGACCCAACCTCATCATTTTCTAATCCAAAGAGCATGCTTTACTTATTAATTTGACATTATTGAGTAGAAACAGATGCCTTTGTCACATTTCATCACACATATTCCACTTTTCACAGGAATCATATGTTTTTATTTCCTGTTTAACACAGGCTTCCAACCATGTCTCCTACCTCAGAGGTTTTCAAACCATTTTCAGGCTGAGAGCTGTCAATAGGGACACAGTAGGCAACAGATTACTCCTTCCAGTTATTTGTACTTGACGGTTCCAAATAAATAAAATAAACCACGCTTCTCTGGGGTAGAAAATGATGAGTTGTATCTCGTTTTGTCCATATCATGTAATCTATAGGTTTACTTTGCAAAATATGACACTGCTTTAAAGCAAGGTCTATTGATTGCCCACTTCCTTATTATAATGCTTACGTAACAATCTCATTCATTCATGCACTCATATTTGGAGTTGGCATCAAACCTACAGCAAGTCTCTAGGAGGAGAATGTTCAAAGAATGTTTTAAGAGACCACATGAAGCTGTTTGTTTCACAGGTTGAGCATCCCTAATCCAAAAATTGAAAATCAGAAATGCTCCAAAATTTGAAGCCTTCTGAGTGCCAACATGATGCTACAAGTGGAAAATTCCACACCCAACCTCATGTAATGGGTTATAGTCGAAACTTCATGCACAAAATTATTAAAATATTATATAAAATGACCTTCAGGCTATGTGTGTCAGATGTATATGAAATAATAAATTTTGTTATTTGACTTGGGTCCCTCCCCCAAGATATCCCTTATGTAAATGCAAATATTCCAAAATCTGAAACACTTACGGTCCCAAGTATTTTGGATAAAAGATACTCAACCTGTAACTGGCTGCCATAGTCTACTCATTGTTAAATTAATTTTTGCATCCCAGTGGGAAGAAAAAGTAGAAATTAGCAAGTTGGGATATATTACAGGAATCTGTAACCCTTGCTTGCCCGCTTCAGTTAGACCACTGATGCAGGAAACCATGCAGAGGGGGCTCTAGGTAAGCGAGCACATATCCAGGCAAAATAGAAGGGGATTGGCTTCTGCTTCACTTACCTGCTCAAGCATCAGCTCTCTTAATCGTGCAATTTTCTCCCCATCTTCAGGGTGACTTAAGATATATTCTTTGACAAAGAATGCCTAGTAAGGGAAAGGAGAATCAGTCTACTTCAGTGGAGTTACAAGACAAGTCAAAGACAAGTTGTTTTTAAAGACCTGGCATCTTTATGGAAATGACACCATTATAAACCACATTTTGGGACAGATGGGCTGATTACGAGCGTAGGTGGTTGGTCAGAATGGAAACATAAGAATTGTTAAAGGAAGATCAGTGATTGTACAATAAGTACCCTTGGTAAAATAAAGAACAAACCCAAATCAATAAGCTATATGGCTTGTATCCTAAAACAAACTGCCTTAAGATTCATTGTGACCCAGATGGTGGCCTTACCTTCCAGGGTACTGTATCTTTCTGTTTAAGAGAGCAGATGAAAGGTCCACTTAAAGCATCATCTAAGCAAGATTGGTCTTGTCTTTTTTTTTTTTTTTTTTTTTTTAATTGGGATAGGATCTTCCTACGTTGCTCAAGCTGGTCTCAAACCAAAGTGCTGGGATTACAGGTGTGAGCCACTGAGCCCAGCCCAGATCAGACTTTTCTATGCCCATGAACTTCTTTGCTTAGAGAAATTATTTTAGGTGGATATTTATTAAACAATCCTAATGTCCTTTCTACTTTTATTCATGCAAGAATGAATACACACACACATTTTTATTATCAAAATATAACATGTTGGGAAAATGGAGTTACTGGGCAATTACAAATGACTGTATGTTTTGCTCTGTTTAACAAAGGACTCTGTGTCAATTGCAGCCCTGTGTTTGCGTGCTGATATGGGTACACAGTCTGAAAAAACATTCATGAAACCCTGAGAAGGCTTTCACAATTGAAAACTTTCTCTGAAACAATACCTAATCCTTACCTCTTGGTACCTGGAAACACCACCATTAACTGCAGCATCTATAACTCCATTCAGGCACATCGTCAGGGGATTAATATTCTGCATCTGTCTTGTCTGACACTGACTAATCAGAGTCTTCAGTTGCTGATTCTTATTTTCCAGCACTTCAATTGCATTTTCCAGAGGACTCATTTCTACCTGAGAAGCAAATGAACATAAATATATGTTGAATTTGTGACATTCAAGAAGAAAGACAAAGTAGTTTATCCATGTTCTGAATTATCTGCGCTCCCCCTTGGCTTCCATCAATATCTCTACCAGGGGCCATTCTGTAGAATAGACGCAAGTGGGATGTTCATTAGCAAGGTTTGGAAAGGGGCAAGTAATTATATTTATTCATTGAAATGTGGTTTGGATAATCAACAATTCTATATTAGCACTGCAACCACCAATTTAATCCTTAAAATAATATCCAAGCATCTCATGTCTTTTAAAACCAGTTTTTTTTTCTTTTGAAGGGTTAAATATTCAGAGACCCTGAATATTATCACCCTTCTCAATGCTTATTTGATACAAATCACCATGGGAGATATAAAGATGCATTTATGGATCCTCTGATGTCAAGGAGCTTTCAGCCCAGTTGGGAAGATGGGACATATGCCATATGAACCTCATATGTATATATAACAGCACCATAAGGTGGCACAGGATGGCACACAGTTGGGAATTATAGAAAACAAGATAATATATACTGCAGGATCTATTTGTTGGAAAGCCAAATAGAATCATAATGACTTAAAAATTCCAGGCTGTATGGAGGACCTAATTGTGAAAATGGTAAAAGTGCTCTTCAAATGTATGTCATTGGGATTGCTATTGCCATTGACATTTTCCTTGAAGAGAAGGTCTGCCAAGCTCTCAGCAATCAAGTAATTCAGGATTACAATAAGCATATTTAAATATTGGTTCATGCAGGCAAGGAAACAAATTAGAGTTTTTAAAGGTCACTTAGATCATCTTAAACCAACACTGAAATCCTAGAATATTAAGACTGAACATTCATCAAAGACACAAAGAGAAGGGAAGATAAGCAAGAACATAGAAGATTTTGTAACATGTGTAACCATCAAAAAGCACATGTTCAGGGTTTATAAGGACTCTTAAAAACCAGTAAGAAAAAGGTAAACAACCAAATAAAAAACGAGCAAATGAATTAAACAGCGACTTACAAAGGAATAAATTCAAATGGCCAGTAAACAAATAATGAAAAGGTGTTGGGCCTCATTTGTGATCAAAGATGTGAAAAATACTACTACAATAACATACTACTAAACACCCACTGAAATAGTAAAAACAAAAATGACAACAGCAGATGAGAGTGAGATTGTGAGCAACGGACTCTTGATTACTGCTACTGGAAGTTCAAGTTGGTACCTTCACTTTGGAAAAACAGGTGAAGATATATATAGGGATGTGTGTGTGTATATCTATATCTTATGATTCGGAAATTCTAGGCATATAAGGAAAAGTGGAGTAGGAGGTTTTTGTATGTGTATACCAAGAAACATATACAAAAATGTTCATAATCTCCAAAATCCATAAGTCCATTGACAAGAGAATAAACATATTGTGATATGTTCATGGAATGGAATAGCACACAGCAATGAAACAAACTTCAGTCACATGCAATAACATGGACAAATACTACAAATAACACTGAGTCAAATATGTCTCAATAGAACACAACTAGTATGTTATATAAAGTTCAAAACCAGGTAAAACTAAATTGACTTGTTTAGAGAGGCAAATAGGTGATAAACTAAGCAAGGCAATGGATACCATAAAAGTCAGGATAGTGACTACTTTTTATGGTGAAGATGGAGCTATAATTGAGAAGGGGTGCATGGGAGGCCTGCAGGATACGGCTGGCAATGTTCTGTTTCTTTACCTGAATGGTGGAAAATGGGTATTTACTTTCAGATTATTTGTAACAGTAAATCTTTGTTTTATGAACACAAAAGTTAAACCATAAAGGAAGTCTGAGAGCTCTGAGTAACTGAAAGTTAAAAAGTAAGCAAAACATCTTAGAACATAGAATGGTGGTTCCCAGGGGCTAGGGGGAAGGGGAGAAGAGAACTGCTGTTGAGTGAATACAGAGTTTGAGGTTTCCAACATGAAAAACTTCTAGATACCTGTTGCACAACAATGTATATATAGTTAACACTACTGTACTGCACACCTAAAAATGGTTACAATAGATTTTATGTACTTTTGGCTATAAGAAAAAAGCAATCTTCATCTTTGTAAATTCAAATGCTATTAAAAATCAAATTTTCTGGAAAGTAAATAAAACAAGATATAATAAACATAGGCAAAATACAAACGACTTGGAAAATATTTCCAACATGAAGGATAGACAAAATGTTAGTATTTGCCAAATACTGAAGAGACAAAGGATGTGATTGGTGCATTCACACAAGAAAATAGAGTACATCAATATATGAAAACATATCTTCACTTAGCATTCAAAAAATGCTGAAACAAAACATCCAACCCCAGTATAATTTTGGTCTATTTGGAAAGATTAAAATATACAACACTTAGTGTTGGAGAAGATACTGGGGAAATAAGTATTTCTAAGACTAGTTATCCCCTCTAGACAGGGTGTAAATGATATATCCCATTGCTGATCCATGAATCAATGGTTACAGTGGGGATACTTTTGATTAATTCACTTCTAGGGAAATCTAAGGGGACAGTCAAAGAAATGTGCAAAGATATGTGATATAGAGTGTTCACCAAGAATTACTTTCCTCCATCCCTCAGATTACAATCTGTAAATACTGTTTACCACCAAAATGAATAAAGAGTCATTGGAGAAATAGCTGCTTTCAGGTCTAGGGCAGGAGACGTTCAAGTGATCCTAGACCACCTGTCTTACCAGGAAGTCCTTCAAGTATCTGGGAGGCAAACATGAAAGTATCTGGCCTGTGATCCATTCATTTTCTTTACTGGGGAATGTCCTTAGGGGACAGAAAAGACAGGTGACTATGTCTTATCTCTTTGTCAATTGAACCTTCAAGTAAACAGACTAAAAATAATTGCTAGGGGGAAGAGATGTTATCTACGGAATGCCCAAGAGGGAAGTCCCCAGTCAAAGGATTTCTTTAAGTAAATAAATCAGAAGCCATGAGGCATGATTACAGAATGTCCCTGAGAAGCTTTACAACTAACTCTCTGGAGTAGAAAATGGAATGTTTCCTAATTGACACTTCATAATTTAAATGTGCTTCTGAATGAGGAACCTTGTGAACCTCACTTAGGGACTCCACCTATAATTCTGAATTATTACTGATGTGGGGAAGAAGGACCTGGCACGCGTGATGTCTCAGAAATCTCACTGCTTTATCTGAGCATCCTGCCTGCCTTGAAATTACTAGCAAAGCTTGATGCTGGGAGGGGTCACTGAGTCCTGTGTGGAATTTGACAGTCAGATCCTGTGTGTTAGCTCAGTAACAAAGACTACTTGGATACTGTGAAAAAAGACTCAGGAGCCATTTTGATGAGGCTTCCAACAGGCAAAGATGGAACATTTTGAAATTTAATAAGAATAACTGCAATGGATTAAAACAAAACAAATATGCTTACATCCATGAGTTACTAATGATACTAAAAACAAAACCAACCAAACAAAAACTCCTCTGGTCGCTTTTGTAGAATACAGCATTATCTTTACTGTACCTCAGGGTAATCAAATATTTCGTGAGAGGACATTTCTGTTTACAGAAGTATTCCAGTGAGTAAATAAACATGAAATGATAAAATATTACCATTTTGTGACCCATAAAAGATTAATAGATCTGGTCAATGATCACCAGTGGCTGCCAGCATCACACACACACACGACAACCAGTAGCACATAACACCAAGTATGAAGTAGTCTTGTGAAAATAAAAGCAAAACATTTCATCAAGTCTCTAGTTCTAACTACCAATTTACAAGGAATACAGGCGACAGAGAAACATGTTAAATGACTTCACTGGGATGCAGTCTGCAGAATCCACACGTAAGGAAACATTTCAGGATAAACAACCTAGTTTCTTCAACAAAAAAATAAGGAAAGTGATGCAAGGGGAAACGTATAGCTTGAAAGAGACTTAGAAGACATTTCAATCAACTGCAATGCATGGCCTTTATTTAAATCTGGATTCGAATAACAGAGTAAAAATAAAATTTTTCTTTCTTGTTTTGAGACAGTCTCACTTGTTCTGTTGCCCAGGCTGGAGTGTAGTGGCGCAATCTTGGCTCACTGCAACCTCCACCTTCTGGGTTCAAGCAATTCTCCTGCTTCAGCCTCCTGAGTAGCTGGGATTACCGGTGTGATCCACCATGCCCAGCTAATTTTTGTATTTTTTGTAGTGACAAAGTTTTGCCATGTTGGCCAGGCTGGTCTTGAACTCCTGACCTCAAGTGATCTGCCTGCCCTGGCCTCCCAAAGTGCCAGGATTACAGGCATGAGCCGCCGTGCCCAGCCTAAAAATATATAATTTTTCTTTAAAAAAAGAGACAGGGTTGAGACTGTCACTGAGGCTAGAGTACAGTGGTATGATCATAGTTCACTGTAACCTCAAACTCCTGGGCTCCAGTGATCTTTTGGCCTCAACCTCTGGAGTAGGAGGTTGCTAGGACTGCAGACATATGCCACCATGCTGGCTAATTTTTTAAATTTTTTGTTGAGATGGCGTCTTACTACATTGCCCAGGCTGGTCTAAAATGCAGAATAAAAGATTTGGTAAAGTATGAATGAACACTGTACATTTTATGGTCAAGGAATTACTGTTAATTTTTAATGTGACAATATTTCAGGTTTTTAAAAATAAATATGAATACTAAAATATTTGTAGATGAAGTGATATGACATCTGAGATTTACTTCAACAACAGTCCAGTTGAGAGGGAGCAGGTAGACGTATAGATGAAACAAAATTGGCCTTTTTGATGGCTGTTGAAGTAATGATGGGTAAGTCAGGTTTATTATATCATTATATATTTTCTCTATTTTTGTATGCTATAACTTAAGTTTTAAAAGGTCACTGGCTGCGAAGTACAAAAGAGACTACAGGGATAAGGGTTGGAAAGCTAATCTTTCAGGAGGCTACTGCAGTAATCAGACACTAGGTGGCGCTATCGGTGGGGCGCTGAGGACTGGTTAGCTTCTGGGTATACAGTATTTAGAAACAGGCACATTGTTTTCTGATGGGCAGGATGTGGTATGACAATATTATCGTGATCTTTAGTTGGATTTTAAAAAAATTATGGATTCTAAACTATAAATGTTTGTCTTGATTAAAAGTTTTTAATGAGCTTAGTTTTTTTTTTTTTTTTTGAGACAAGAGTTTCGCTCTTGTTGCCCAGGCTGGAGTGCAGTGGTGTGATCTCAGCTCACTGCAACCTCTGCCTCCCGGGTTCAAGCAATTCTCCTGCCTCAGCCTCCCAAGTAGCTGGGCTACAGGTGCATGCCACCACGACCAGCTAATTTTTTGTATTTTTACTAGAGACGGGGTTTCACTGTGTTGGTTAGGCTGGTCTTGAACTCCTGACCTCTGGTGATCCACCTGTCTCAACCTCCCAAAGTGCTGGGATTACAGGTGAGTCATGGCACCCAGCTGAAATGAGCTTATTTTTTAATCAGGACAAAAACACTTTTTTGGGTTTTGAAAATAATTAATAAACTACAGAGGAAACAACAGTTCAAAGGCATTGATATCTTCACAAAAGTTGATAAGCCATTGAGGGGGTCTATGAATTAGAAAATAAAGGTCCCCAATTTCATCTGAAACCTTTGGTGCCATATGTTTCAGAATTAAGAACTTTTCAGATTTTAGAAAGGCAGTATAGGGCCATATATGGTATATTATAAAACCCCAAGCAGGATCTAGGGCAGGTTCCTCTAATCAAATGCATTACATTAATAAGGCCGGGCATGATGGTTTATGCCTGTAATCCCAGCACTTTGGGAGACAAAGGCCAGAGGACTGTTTGAGCCCAGGAGCTTGAGACTAGCCTGAGCAACATTGTGAGACCTCATCTCTACAACAAATCAGAAAAGTAGCCAGTTGTGGTGGCACATGCTTGTGGTCCCAGCTACTTGGGAGGCTGAAGTGGGAGGATCACTTGAGGCCGGGAGGTCAAGGCTGCAGTGAACCATGATCGTACCACTGCACTCCAGCCTGGGTGACAGAGGAAGATCCAGTCTCAAAAACAAAAAAGGAAATACAATATTTCTACAGTGAAACACATGAACCTTCACACTAAGTGAAATACAGTTAATAAATGGACTTGCATTAGAAAAGCTTGGGTGTATTACTAGCAAATGAGCTTTGGAGTCAAATGAAAGCATCTCTTGGTTTTCAGACATTGGCATCTGCAGATGAGGAATTTCAATTCAACGTGATATATTTGTATTGAGTACCTACTACCTGTCCCTGTTCTTGAAGACCTTCTACACTAGAAGTTAAACCAGGAAACCAATAGCTTTAATCGATAGTGAGGACATTCTAGGCAGCAAGAACAAGAGAAAAACACAAAAGCTGTTAAAAGTGGACTGTGTTCAGGGAACAAAACAGTTGAGTTTGATTTGTTCTATTTGACAGAACATAAGATTACATATTCTAATAAAGTAGGCAGCTGATGTTTGAAAGGTTGTGTTTAGTAATGCTCCTTTTATCATTATCAGCATGCTATTTTTTATTAGCATTGTATGTGTGTATGACATTTCCAAGGGCTAGGACCATTGGTGAGACTTCACAGGATTTAATGCTCTGGGTAGTAAGTAGCTAAAGGCTCTCTGAATCATAATGCAGCATGGATGACTAGAAACACTTCTCTAAGTTGGACGCATGCCATTCAGCGGGAAGCATAATAAGACTTTTTGAGCACTGCGTTTAGCAGTCTCCCCTCTTCCATGGAAGGTACCAGGGCACAATGTGTAAGCAGCCAGTTTTTGGGGACTCTGGACCTGAGACTGGACAAGAATACAACTACACTGATGTAATCTGCTGAATAGAGTTCAATTTTAATTTTCAAATCCTTAGCTTAATTGAACATGATAGGCTGAGAGTAGTTTCAATGCTGAGACATTTCAGGTAAGACAAACAATTCTTGAAAAACAATTTGGTCAGGAGCTGTTCTTTCTACTGGATTGAAGGAATAGGCTTGTGACCTAAATAAGGTATGAATTACATTATATTTGCACAATTGGCACACTTCCTATCAGAGAACTACAGCGATCAAAAGGGTGAGATCCAGGCTCAAAAACGAATGACAAACACATTATTTCTGCAGTGAAACAAATGAACATTTCCACTAAGTGAAATAAAGTTAATAAATGGCTATAATGGATGTAGCAAGGAAGGCTGTGAGACTGTGAGGCTGTGGCTGACATCGAGGTGCTGTCAGCTGGAAGAGCAGCACAGACAGCTGGGTGGGGTCCCACCCTGGATGTGGCTGCCTTCAGCTGCTGCTCTCCCTGCTCTCCACAACTGGGGACTTGAGCTGGGGTCACATTTTACAACCTGAGGGTTCTTGGGAGCTGTGGTTACCAGGTTCTGTAGTGGTACCCACTGTAGATTAGGACTGCTCAGAGAGATTAATATGCTGCCATACTTTCTACTGGGAACTGTAACAACACGGACCTACTGTGCATCGGGCACTGGGCAGAGACTTGACATTAGCCTCCTTCAGCCTGTAAGAAAACCATAGCTAGAAGAGATTAATATAACTGGCTTTGGAATCAGAAATATCTGCGTTGGAGTCTCTCTTCAACATCTTGCTATGTGATCTCTGGCAAAGGCTTTTGACCTCTTGTCAAACATTGCAAAAACAGGAATAAGAATATATACCTCATAGCTTTGATGTGATGATTAAGAGAAAGCAGGTAGCATTAGCACTGGTCTGACACAGTAAGCATTGAAGGTCACACAGCTATAGCAATTAGGAGAGCTGGAATTCCAAGACTCCTAACTCAAGGGCCTGAGTAGTTTTTTTTACATGTAGCAAATTGAGTTTTCAAGGAATCCCTCCGTCTGGATGCATTAGGAAAATATTAATGTTTACCTTCTCAGCTTGGTAATAGCAGCCAATACTATAAACATTCACTATTTTACTATGAGTGCTTCCAGAGAATCTGGGTCAAAGGAGAAGTAATGAATATATGGCACCAACTCTAAGTGAACAACTGTGATGAGAAAGTGCTTGAGAATAAGCTCTGATCCTTACCACTTCACGTTTTTCCACTTCAAACCAGCGAGAAATGCCAGGCAAACTCTGCACCAAGTATAATGACGTTCTCTCCACCCAGAGACTCTACAAAACAAAAAGCACATTAAGTCCCCCAAGTTGCCCTTCTTTCTAGCTACTTCCATGACTAGTGTTTGTCACCCACTGTTACCAGGTTTTCCTTATTCCCATCAGCCTTTCTTTAGTCTTCATTCAAGCACTCATGAAACTATCACAGTGAGATATTACCGAAGCTGATTTTAACAATTCCACTGTATATCATCAAGCTTCTTTCCATGTGGAATAAATGAGCTCCTACTTCAAACAGCAAGCTTAAAAATACAAAAATAGGCTATATGTTATTTTCTTTGCTATTTTTCCAAAATTCTAATTCAAACTCTCTTCACTCCTTAACATCTAGCCATTTATATGTAGAAGGGTCAGCCAGTCAATGTATCAGCCAGTTAATGTAAGATTAGAATAAGAGTCCTAAGGGAAGCAAAGGCTTTAGGAACCACACAGCGTGATCTATGTTAAAGATGAGGACATGGCCAGGCGCGGTGGCTCATGCCTGTAATCCCAGCACTTTGGGAGGCCAAGGCGGGCAGATCATGGGGTCAGGAGATTGAGACCATCCTGGCTAACATGGCGAAACCTCGTCTCTGCTAAAAATACAAAAAAATTAGCTGGGAGTGGTGGCGGGCACCTGTAGTCCCAGCTACTCGGGAGGCTGAGGCAGGAGAATGGCGTGACCCGGGAGGTAGAGCTTGCAGTGAGCTGAGATCACGCCATCGCACTCCAGCCTGGGTGACAGAGCAAAAAAAAAACCAAAAAAATTTTGAAGACACTAAGTCTTAAAGCAGCAATGTGACTTGTTCAAAAGCTATACTACCAATAGAGCCAGCACTAGAGCCTACCCACTAGGACCTCTGACTCCCCCTCTGTTGCTGAATCTACTGTGCCACATTTTCTTGTGCTTGTTTGAACTGCTGTTAATAGAGGCAAATCTGTAGTTTAGAGCCAGGGCTGCTTCTGGCCAGGACCAGCAACCCCAGGACATGTGAAACCATGCCGCTTTTGGTACGAGCTGCTGTTGATGACAGGTTTCTTTTTTGTCAACCAGGTTTTAGTATCTATGCCTCATCTTTCTTACTTAAACCAAGTATATTCCCAAGAGGATAATACACTTTACAAAATTCCTGAAATAGTGCCATTTACTCAAACCACCACCACCACAACAAAAAAAATGGAAGAGTTTCTTTGGGCCAGCCAAGCTGTGCTGAGATGAATAGGACAGAGATCCTGTGACAAGAGCTTGCAGTGTTCTGGTGCTGACAGGGAGGTAAGCAGATGAATAAGAGCTCAGAGTGAAGAGAAAGGGATGTTCAAGGCTCTGGGGGCCAACAGAGGGGGATGCAGGCGCACACGCCAGCCTGGGGGAGGAGGACAGCAGTTCTCAGAGGGGGCGATGCGTGAGCTGCATTCTGAGGAGTGAGTAGGAGTTTGCCAGGAGGAGAGTGGGGGTAGCAGTGCTGGCAGGAGAAGCAGCTTGCGAAAGGGCTTGGCGGGAGAGGAAGAAAGAAGCCGAGTGTCGCGGAGGCTGAGAGGGAGGAGGGGTGAGTAGGTTGTGGTGGAGATGAGGCTTCTGGAGGGGCAGTTTGGAGCCAGATTCTGAGGGCTATAAAGCACAGGAATCAGGAGCCAGATTTATTATTATTGCTTTTTAGGGAGATTGCTGCACTACTGATACAGATTTAAAGTGACAACCACAAGGAAATGTAGTATGGTGGAAAAAACAATGAAAGAGTCACAAAATGTGAGTTCTGGGACTGGGGCTACCGGTAACTAGAAGGTGACTTTGAACAAGTCAATTGCCTGATTTCAGTGGATTTCTGACTATGTTTTAACTAAAAGCAACTGCAAGAAGAACTATATCATCAACTGGCTATATCTTTAATTGATTTTGGAAGGCACAAAGAAAAATGTAAGTTTCCAGAAAAAAACAAGAAAATGATCATGGATCTTTTTAGTACTATCCCATTGTTGTTTTCCAGTGGGCTCCTTGCCTTGGTATTTAGCCCATTAAATCTCCGGGCACAAGGGACTGCTCTTTATTCAATCCTGTCATAACTCTGCAAAACCTTCCCCTTCTGATCTCCTCTCGGTTGCGAATGATTCCTGGAAATACTTCCGGGAGTACTGAGAACAGACACAGGCAGAGCTGACCAAGTGAGTTAACATGAGACAATCATGTTAGGAGCACGTTTCCTAGCTTAAGTAGGGAACATCTGTGATGAAAAATGCTAAGCCAATTAACTCACAAAAATAAGCTAATTTTGCATTCTTCGTTTAGGTATGAAATAAACTGGGGGGGGGGGCGGTCTCACTATATCATTGTTTGCAAAGAAAGGGGCAGACTCTAATTTATCTAGTGAACAATCTTGCCCCTTTTCTGCAGTGGGGCTATGAGAAACCTTGCCCCTTTCTGGCAGAGAGGGTGCTGAAGTAGGAAGGTATGTTGGAACTACTGAGAGCAGGGAGCTCAACACATGCAAAGAATCCAAGATTTGCTTTTACTCAGAGTCCTGAGAAGTTCTGATTACACACTGTTCTCACAAGAACAAGCAGCAAAAGATGGCACATAACTTACCCACCGTACCAGCAGTCTACCCAACTGTTCTCTGTCTTCAGGAACTCCTTTTCTCTGTTCCTTACCTATTCTTTATTCATTGAACTTTATGTGAAAATAAACATCCCAAAGTTCCCACAGTTGGTTCAACATAAATGAATGAGAGGACTGACTTCAGCCAGGAGTTCTCAAAGACTGGTCTAAGAACCACCAGCATTAGAATTGTTCCAAAAAAGCTGATTTTAGGACCTCCTCCCAGACCAACTGATTCAGAATTCCTGAGCTGGGCACCAGAAAGCTGCTTGGTTAGGGAGCACTCCATGTCACTCTGATACACGTGGAGCTGCAGAACCACTAGACTAAATGATTTATGTAGTCCCTTCTGTTTCTGTCACTTGACACTATTCTGAGTAAATATTTACCAAGGGTTGCACCCCAAGGGGCTCGCAGTCTATCTGAGGAGTTAGCATGTAATAAGAATTGCATGGTACCTTGAATTCATTCTCTTTATCTTTTGTGCCTTTGTGAAATGGTCGGTCATAGCGGAATTTCCAGATGTGATTCACTTTATAGAAACTTTTGATGTTGTCCGGAACGCCCTCTCTCTGCAGGACCTCCTGGCTCTCCGGAATGGGGGTCACAGCATATATCTGCAAATCTAGGATTAACGAGTCAAGGAGAGAACCTGACTTGGCAATCCATGGAAGTCTGGCTCGGGCTGAACCATGGCAGAGAGAAGAGGATGGGTAAGAATCTTCTGTTTCCATTTCAGTTGAAGTCATTTAAAAAATTACCAAGAAGATGCCAAGAACTCAGTTCTAGCAAATCACGTCTCAAACTACAGGTCTTGAACTAGTTCTAGGTAGGTGAAGTATCAGCTTGAAATTTCCATGACTTAAAATTTTCATGACCTCTGAATTTAGATATCACTAATTTTTGTGTGTGTGTGTATGTAGATGTGAATGGTTTGGGCCTTAGGTACTCAGGATAATCCTAATCCTTGTTCATGAGACATATCTTAGTCTGTGCATGAGCCATTTAAGTTTATTGTTTGCTGATAATAACATGTAAATACCTATGCAACCATGACCGAAGACAGAAACTAGAACATTGACAGTGACTTCCACCCATCTGTGTGATTTTCTGTGTCCCTAGCCTTCTCACATCTGTGATAACTTCTCTCTCAAATCTTGCATTCATATGCAGGGTGTTTAGTTATAGTTTATATTTTTAAAAATTACATTAAAGGGGTATCATATTAACTTGTATATTTACTTCCTTCTCTTCTTATCTAAAGAAAGATAGCAAAATATTTTTCCTATGTACTTTCTTGCATGTCTTGCATTTTGGTTTCTGCTTTGAAATGGTATTCACAATTGTCAGTGGAAGTTTTAGGTGTTTTTTAAGACCATCAGTTTCAGGAAAAGGCAGAGGGGTTCAGAAAAGAGTGCTGGGGTGAACTGCCTTTGTCTCTAATACCTATATAATTTCAGCTCAGTTGTTTGTGTTTAGACAATAAGAGTATGAATTATATAACAATGATTAAAGGCTGTTCAGGATGCCATAGCTAAAAGCCCCCGAAAGATACTGGAGTAGCTCTTTCTCGTGCATTCCTCATTCTAGAAAAAAATTATCAGGGTGGGGGGAGGGGCAAATAATATGTGCCAGTAAGCATAATACTATGATTTTCTTGAACTTAAGCAGTTTCCACAGGATATGTCAAAGGAAATTTATTCTAAAGGAAATCACTAGAAAGGAGCTTTAAAGGCAGGGTGAGCTATTCAAGAGGTTTAATTAAAAGGGAAAAATTCTTTCAAGAGAGTTCTTTCAACTGACATCATCATAATAAATAGAACAATTAAGTTCTATTCAGAAGGAGTTAAGCTAAAATTAAGATGACGGAAAAGAGGGAGCAGTAAGGATGTGGCTGTTGAAAAGGGACTGGTGGCTGAACAACCTTGCATGAAAATGCTCTGCAGCAGCCAGTGCAATCTCACTGAGTCCAGCCCTTGTAGGTGCGGATACACTGAGCTTCTGCCTGGAAGATGGTCTCATCGGGCTGGTTGGCATGCTGCATGGCGATGGCGTGGGGGAACTCGTTCAGCATTCTCTGTTGGAAGGCTTCCAGCCTCTCGTAGTCATGCCCTCGACACACAAACTCCTTATTCTGGAGATGAAAGCAAAAAAGAAATTAGGGCTATATAAGGGAGTGGATTACAGACAAAGTCAAAAAACATGACACTGGCAGTAACTGACCACACGCCTCATACCAAGACACTCTAACAAAAAATATGCTGGAACAATCTGAAAAGTTTGCCCAATTGTTAAAAATGCAGATAAAGATCATGAGTTCACTCTCTACTGCATTTCATAAGACCCAATAGAATGCCTCACTCTTTCTGGTTCACTTGCATGAGGCGCAAAGAGGTGGATTCTCAGAGCACCAAAGTATAAAAACAAAACACTTGTATTCCCTCTAAATGTTAATGAGCACATGTGTAAAGATTATTTTTATAAAATACACATCAAATTCACATGGGTAATTTTACAACGTGGAGGAAAAGTAAATTTGTTGTCTGCTTTTTGTGTGTGTGTGTGTGTGTGTGTGTGTGTGTGTGTGTGTGTGTATGAGTATTCTGCCATTCATGATGCTCTCCTTCAGGAAGAATGGTGAAGGTTATTTCTGAGGTAGGTTAAGACAGCTGGAAAGATGGGAAGGTTTCCCAAAAGTACCTGAATGATCTGATTAGATAATGATGGATCTGACATTTTAATGGTAATGAAGTTGTAATTGAGCACAGTCATTGACGAAGCACACTGCACGTGTCATTCAACTTATACAAGCTTGACAGGTAGTCACTGTCCCCTACCATACCCCATTTTATAATTGGGGAACCAGGGCTGAAAGTCTTTTTTTTTTTTTTTTTTTTTGAGATGGAGTCTCACTCTGTTGCCCCAGCTGGAGTGCAGTGGTATGATCTCGGCTTACTGCAACCTCCATCTCCCAACTTCAAGCAATTCTTCTGCCTCAGCCTCCCGAGTAGCTGGAATGACAGGTGTGCACTACCATGTCCAGCTAATTTTTGTACTTTTAGTAGAGATCGAGTTTCACTGTGTTGGCCAGGCTGGCCTTGAACACCTGGCCTCAGGTGATCTGCCTGCCTTGGCCTCCCAAAGTGCTGGGATTACAGGCGTGAGCCACCACGCCTGGCCACGGCTTAATGTCTGGAAATACTTTGTCCACGTGTACTAGATTGAAATTCTGGTCTGAGTCCAAACCCTGGGCTCTTTCTAAACTGAACACGGCCTAGTGTATGCAGGAAAAACGCCTAGGAGCTACCAAGACCAAGAAAGCTTGCGGGATCTCAGGGCTTGGAGATCGTCAAGTTAAGGGGAGATCAGTTTGCGGCCTAGAGGAGCTGAGGCCCAAGGTTGTCCATGTTGTCCAGCTCTATGAGGTTCTTATGTAAAATGCCGTAAAGAGGAACTCAGGCCACAGTGAGGGAGTAAGAAACAAGTCACGGGCAGAGGCTTAGTTCTTCCGCAAGGAAAGGGCAGCTGCAGGCAGGCAGAGGAAATGCAGCAGGAACTGGGCTGGATAAACTACCTCGATTCCCCACAAACCCCTAAATAAATCATGATCTTTTGAAAAACACAAGGTTAAGGCAGACTCTACCTATAATTGTGGACCCCATACAATTCTATATTTAAAACTTTCTAGATAAAAGTTACAATATCTGATGCTGTATTTTAAAAATTCTACTCAAAAGATAATTAATTTCCTTGGTAAAATAAAAGATAATACATCCCTCTCTGCTTATTACAGGAGCCCCCAAATAAATATTCAAATATCCTAGTAAATGAAATATATTTTAAAACAATGCTTATACATAACAGTTTGTAAAAATCAGGGCATTTGCTCTAAGAATACAGACATTCAATGCTATTAAGAAGCCATTTTAAAATAAAATGAAATTTTGGCTGATATTTGGGACTCCAAGAAATAAAGCATCTTCCTTATCAGTACTCTTTTTTTTTTTTTCTGAGAAAAACATAGCTTTATGGAGATATAATTCACATAAAACAAAATCCACTTTTTAAAAATGTGCAATTCAGTGGTTTTTAGTATATTTATAGAGTTGTGCAAACATTAACAAAATTTAATTTCAGAATCTTTTCATCATTATCAAAAAGCAACCCTATACTCATTAGCAGTTACTTCCTATTTTCCCCTTCCCCCAGCCAATCACAAAACTACTTTCTGTTTGTATGGATTTGCCTGTTATAGAATTATACAATGTGCTGGCCTTTTGTGACTACCTTTTACTTAACATAGTATTTTTAAAGTTCATCCATTTCGTAGCACATATAAGTATTTCTTTTCTTTTTATTGCTAAGTATCATTGCACAGACATGCTGTATTTTGTTTACCCATTCATCAGTTAATAGACATTTGGGCAGTTTCTGTGTTTTGGCTATTATGAATAATGCTGCTATGAAGATTCAAGTATTTGTGTGAATATGTATTTTCAATTTTCTTAAGCATGTATATAGAAGTAGAACTTCTGTGTTAGTATTCTTTAACCCATTTGCTTTTCTTTTTTTTTTTTTTGGAGACAGGGTCTCACTGTCACCCAGGCTGGAGTGCACTGGCTCAATAACAGCATACTGAAGCTTTGACTCCCGAGCTCAAGCAATCCTCCTGCCTCAGTCTCCCAAGAAGCTGGAACCACAGGCGCATACCACCAAACTACTTTTTTATTATTTTTAGTAGAGACAGGGTCTCACTATGTTGTTCAGGCTGGTCTTGAACTCCTGGGCTCAAGTGATCCTCTGGCCTTGGCCTCCCAAAGTGCTGTGATTATAGGCGTGAGCTACTGTGCCCAGCCAAAAGTAACCTGTTTTCCATGAGGGGAAAAATCCCTACTTAGATCATAACATTGTATAAATGTATTTGAGTTCTAAAAATTATCTTGGAAATTGATCAAACCACAAAAGACTTCTGGCCTCAAGCAATTCTCTTGCCTTGGCCTCCCAAAGTGCTGGGATTACAGGTGCGAGCTACTGTGCCTGGCCAAAAGGAAGTTTTTAATGTTGATATTTGTTTGCTTTTAAATCCAAGAACAGACTAGAATCTGATTCCTTAAGAAAAAAGGTCAGGCTCCGGGATTCTGAAGAGTGTAGTGCCCTTTAGAAACCAATAGAGGGGGACCCTTCTCTTTCATTTTGAAGCAAATGCCATTTATACCCAGGAAAGCTATTTTTAAAAGAAGGATGATATAGAAGATTGATTTATTCTAATTGACTTTTTAACAAAATTTATTCTATTAGCTAATGCAGTTTTCCAATTTGCTAAACTCTCTTTAAAATTATGACTCTTAAACTACTTCCAGTTTTTTTAAACTTTATACTTTTAATTATAATCTTTCAGATGTGACTCTGCCAACAGTGTCATGTCTGTCTGTGCCAACAGAGGGAGATGACCTACTGAGGCAGAGAAGCATCTGGACCCTGCTGTGCAATCCCCAGCCCTCTGTGCGGCTACAGCTCTAGACTGTGCCGCTCCACTCAGAACCTGGATCCAGGCCATCTGCAGTCTTTAGCGGGGTTGCTCATAACAGCTTGGGACCAGCTACACCTCCAAAACTTAGTCTTTTAAATTCAACATGTATTCTGACTCTGCCATTTTTTAATTTTCATTTTTTTGGGAGTCTCGCTCTGTTGTCTAGACTGGTCTGGAACCAGGTTCAAGTGATATTCCTATCTCAGCCTCCCAAGTTCTTGGGATTACAGCGTGCCACTGTGCGCTGTAATGTTTTTGATCAGGAATCAAGATTTCCTCCATTTTTAGGCAGGCCCACCTGCAGAGTCAGCTTTGTGACCGCCCACTATACTGTGTTTTAATGCAACAAGGAGATTGCACATTATGTCTGTGTAGCACCCAAATGCACGGTCATTTCAATTGACTAAAGACAACATTTGTTCCATGTGATACTAAAATGAACCTGTATTGGATATTTTGGGATCTACCTATCTGTCTTTTTCATTCTGAAAGGCAGATAATGATTATTAAACAAACAATAAAGTGAAATCTTTCTCTTCTTCTCCAAGCACACCCATCCTAGTATCCTGTCATATGTGCTGACAGGCAAGATTTAGGTAAAAACAAACATCAAAATATTTGTATATTGAGAACTAAAGTTGTAACAAATTGATTCAATTTTAAAATTATCCCAGATACGTTTCCTTAGTTGCTTGGGAATTACATTTGTTCTTTTAAGCAATGTTTTTATACAAGGAAGGTGTATATACTAAAGTGTCCAATAAATATTCAAGCATAGAAGACACTACTTGGCAGAATGTGAAAAATGAAAAGAATGGAGTTGAATATTTTATTATCTTGTAGGTATCTTAGAATGTCTAAAGGTTTTCCCTTTGTAGAAATGGAGTTTATACTAGCAATAAATTGAGTCTCTTTGCTGGGTGACATTTATCTTTTTACAAATTCATCAAAATGGCCAAACAACACTCTTTACATGGTGCTGGAGGTAGGGTTTTCACGTGATGTGAAACTGCATTGCTTTCGATACTCTGCAACTCCCAGCCTCCTGCAGTGCCCCGCCATTTTTTTTTCTAATACTAACTTGATGGGAATTGCAGACTGAATTAAAATAGTGGGTATCATATAAGGGAAACTATTATTATCAAAGATTGCTCACAAAATATACTAAATTTAGGAAGGGGTTGATTGCTATCTCAGAAATTATTTAAAACAAGGCATTCTAGATTAATATAATGTCTGCAAAGTAAAAGTTTAAAGAAAGTCTCATGCATATTACTACCTGTCATATAAAATGTCACTAACAGCTTAGTTTTCTTGATTGAGATATCTATATGAGAACCATGAAAGCAAATTAAATAGTATATTACTTACTCTTAAGAAAAATGGAAATTTTTTTCCATAAAATCCAACTCTGAAGAACTCTGGTTCAAGACGTTGCTGGTCCATAATTTTGTCATACAAAGAGGCTTCCATCATCTAGAAAGCACAGAAAAGTTCTAAGCATTTTATCTCATCTTTCGTTTCTATCAAAGTTATAGAATAAGATTTCTCTTTTATATAAAGGAGAACTTTATTTTAATTGAGTTTGCCTCAAAGAAGGTCTGACTTTCTTTTTGATGCTTTAAGTTGGGGATTGGCAAATTTCCTCTATAAATGTCCAGAGACTGTTTTACATTTTGCAGGCCATATTGTCCCTTCACAACTATTTAATTCTGCTAGGCCCAAAGGCTGTAGTTTGCTTACCCCTGCTTTAAAGAATCAAGTGTATTATCACATGTTATCCCAAGAGAAAAATTATTTCTACGCATGTAGTCTATCAAGAAAAATATTTTCTTCACAATTAAGTAGAAATTAACGTGAATTATTAGAGGCAAAACCTTTCTAGAGAATTCTCGTGCCAGATGTACTTACCTGTGGGTTTGCCTCCACCTGCCTATGGTAATTCAGGACATTTGGAAGGTGCAATCTTGCACAGGTTGGGCAAGGATAAAACAACAAACCAAACCAAAGGAGACCCATAGTGCAAAGTGCTGTCTGGGTTGAAAGCTCTTAAGTGCGCCTGACAATGTTGAAACTATGAAGCATATAAAGCTTATGGTTTCCCATTCATGGCATTATCATCCCCAGGGTTTCCAGAGAAAGACTAATATTACACTTGAAGATTCCTCCTCTATCCCCCCTCTAGTAACAGCACCCCAAAGAGCAGTTGGCATGAAGTATAATGCTTTGGGTTTATAAAAATCTTAGTGACTATGGCACCCAAGGGCTCTCACAAGTAAACATCATCACCTCGCTTCTCGTCACAGGAACAGGATGCCAAGAGATGAACATCAATGTTTTTATATAAAACTGCAGTGCCTGCCAGAGTCAACATGATGGACTGAAGTTAAAACAGGGTTTTTCTCTTTCGTTTTCATGTTAGGAGAAGTATCGATGAACTGCTGACATGAAATACTGTGCCAAAAGGACAGAGTCAGTTCCTGCCAGTTGAATAAATTCCTTGTTGGGGTGTAAGGGATTTTATGAGCTGTTACAGGTTTATGGTATTATCTCTTAAATGGCTACCTCAAAATTAAAAGGCAGTATTTAATCTTTTTTTAATGTATAAAAACTGATGATCCTACTTTAGAAACCCCGAGGAACTGACACACACAGCAGGATCTTGTGTATTACAAGATGACACATACGTTCATGCTGCTCAAGAGTAAGGACTTGGAGGGCAAGGAGGACTTGTTTGAACCCAAGAGCAAAGCAGGTATAAAACATCTGGTTCAGAGAAACAGAGTACTCAACTCCTTGAGCTCTTAGGTGCTAAAATCTCGATCTAAGTCTCGCAAATAAAAACCCATTGCTGAAGCTAAAGAGAGGTGACGCCTACAGAATTTGGCCCTAAATTATTGAGAAACAGGTCAGCCATTCCCACAGATTTGCAGATTATGGGACTAAGAATGGTATATTGTTACAGAAACATGTGTAAGTGGAAACTCTTCAAACAGAGTGGAGATTTTCCACAATAAACTAAAAGTGTTAATCCTGGATTAGACTGTATATTTCATATATGGTGTATTAAACAAATCAAGTGCTCACTTTTTTATATTAAATAAAAGCATTACACAAATCAATTTGCTATTTCTCTGTATAAATAGCTAAGTATGCTTCAGAGGATTTATCTTAAAAAACGTTTCTGCAAGACCACAGAGTTAATTTCATAGAACCACACTGGAAAGCTAATCACAAAGGGAGGCTATGGCCTGATCAGGATGCAGTCAGGCACCTTACCCGCATCTTGCTCAGGTTTCTGTAGTCATAGTAACTCTCATACTGCTCTGCAATCTTCCGGCACAAGATAATGCCATTCTCCCAACACTGTGGACAAATGAATGAGATCAATGGAACCATCCGACAACATCCACTTACTTCTACCCAAAAGTCAGAACATGAGTGTGTTCAGAGCACCAAGCCTTACTCCTTAATCTTTTTTTTTTTTTTTTGAGACGGAGTCTCGCTCTGTCACCAGGCTGGAGTTGCTCAACTCGGCTCACTGCAACCTCTGCCTCCCTGGTCCAAGCGATTCTCCTGCCTCAGCCTCCTGAGTAGCTGGGATTACAGGCAGGCACCACCATACCCAGCTAATTCTTGTATTTTTAGTAGAGATGGGGTTTCACCATGTTGACCAGAATGGTCTTGATCTCCTGACCCCATGACCCGGCCACCTTGGCCTCCCAAAGTGCTGGGATTACAGGTGTGAGCCACCGCACCTGGCCACTCCTTAATCTTTATAACATACCTTTAATCATATCATTGAGACTTTAAGCTTGAAAACACCATGTAATTAAAATGTAAATTATTAAAAATCCTTTGAATGCTGGAAACGATAATCTACCACAACAGTCATTAATACTTGGTGCATGAACAATATTTTTTGCTGTCATTCCAGAATCATCTTGAAATAACTACAGTTCCACAATGGCTGAATAGATGGATATAAACAGGCAGAGGAGAGAATTACCACTGACCCCTAACTCCCAATTATCTGTGACTGGTACCCTGGATTTCTTGCTTGGCTTAGTTGTGCTTGCAAATTGTGAGAGGTATAACCCAGCTGGTTACTCTCAGCAGAAATGTATAAAATTCTTTGATCTAGTATAGGTGTCAGCAAACATTTTCTGCAAAGGGCCAGAAAGTCAACACTTTAGTCTTTGAGGACCATATAGTCTTTGTCACAATTACTCAATTCTGCTGTTATAGCACCAAAGCAGTCATAGACACAATTAAGCATGGCTGTGTTCCAATAAGAATTTAGGGCCAATAAAACATGCGTTTCATATCATTTTCACATGTCCCAAAATGTTATGATTCCTTTGATTTCTTTCAAACATTTAAAAACGTAAAAGAGATTTGTAGCTTTGGGGCTGCACAGAAACAGGCAGTGAGTCATGTGACCTGTGGACCATAGTTTGCAACCCCTGATCTAGCACAAACTCCTGGGGATGGACCAATACATGAATCCAGAGAGTTTGTACCACCTTATCCCACAGGTGGAAACTTTACAGCAGGAGGGCACAAAAACATTTCTTTTGGTATTCATGTAATGATATGTCAGTGTAGCTAGATAAATAATAAAGGAAGATGTGAAAGAAGCAATTTCCTTGCATCAAATTTTTACGTGTACCCAATTATATTTTGTAAAAGAATTACAGCCATTGGTTGTATTTTAATTTTCTGTTTAACCTTCGCAATCTGGAAGATATATTTGAGTCTAAGACATGTACCACCAAAGCATCCAAGTGTTCAAATCCAATAAACAATGGTGGTCAGATTCATGAATTTTTTAAAAGAGGACTATAAGCCCTTGAAGAGGGGGAGGAAGTGGAGGGAGGTGATGTACTGAATTGCTTTATGAGGTCAGTGAGGTTTTTTCAACACCCCAAGGCATCTCTTAAGTATATGATGGGATGCCACAAAATTCTTTAAACAAATTAAGTTTCATATATTTTACCTTAAAGTAGAATGGGGCAGAATGCATGCCAATTTCGGGAGACTGTGAAGGGTGATAATGGTTTTTCAGAGAATATAATACCTGTGTGTTATAGTCTGCACATTTGGGTCTCCTACAAATTCGTATGTTGAAATCCTAACCCCCATGGGATGGTATTAGGAAATGGGGTCTTTGGAATTGATTAGGTCATGAGGGTGGAGCCCTCATGATTGGCATTAGTACCCTTATAAAAGAGGCCCCAGAGAGTTAGCCAGTCCCTTTCACCATGTGAAGACACAGCAAGATGGCCCTCACCAGACACTGTGTCTGCCAGGGCCTTGATCTTGAACTTCTCAGCCTTCAGAACTGTGAGAAATAAATTTCTGTTGTTTATAAGCTACCCAGTCTAGGATATTTTGCTAAAGCAGCCAGGAATGGACTATGTTACTGGCGATCAAAATCTCTAAATCCGTGTTTATCAAAGTGTAATGAAAAGGTCATGCACATTGGACTCTCCTAGGGTCCTTGTTAAAATCACAGATTCCCCAGCCTCGTGCCAGACAAGGCATGAATCAGAATGGCTGATTCAAAATCAAAACGAATCAGAATGGCTAGGAGTGGGGCCTAGGAATCCTCATTTTGACAAGCTCTTGGGTGTTTCTAATATACGTTAAAATGTGAGGATCTCTGCTCAAGGAGGTGGGCATTCATATACTAGAAATGAAAGGGAAAGGGACATCAACACCACCACTCCAGGAGGGACCCCGGGCGGGGCAGGGCCACTTACTTTGCCTCTGTCAAAGTTCTGGATGATGGTGAGGTGCAGGTGCTCTTTGCGCTGCCATTCTGTTTGCATGGGGTAGGTCAGGAACTCCCTGAGGGGCCGATCAGACCATTCCAGTAGCTCATCATATAAGAGGAGGGTATATGCAGCTTCTGCAAGTCACATGGGAAGGCAATGATTGAGACAGGACCCCAAGCCACATTCCTTCAAATGTGGCCAGTTTCCGACAAACTGGGAAAAAAATACTATTTTCTAAACTTCGTGATATAGCAGAAAAATGTCCAGAATATATGCAGCAGTAGGGTAATGAACGAGGACTTCCCCTGGATGATGGACTTGGACTTATCAGAGATCTGTACTTCATCTTTTGTTTCCCTGTAATTTCTGTTTCTGTTTTTGCCTTTTGTTTTTGTTTTCCCTAAAATGTCTGTATGCTACAGCATAATAAAAATGTGTAAGGATATCTTGCTGTTGCTGGTTCAAAGATGTGGGGAGACAGGCCTTTGTTTGCTGGGAGAGTTCACTAGTAAGTTGCTTGGGGACTATGAGCATCTTCCAAAGAGCAGGCTTAGGAAACAAAAAATGGCAAATTCTTTGGAATAATAAAGGGCTGAAAAATTGAAACTGGTGAGGAGCGGGGATCAGAGTGGAGGCAGAATTTACAAGGGGCAAAGAAGCCAGAGAGGAGCTGAGTGAAGACAAAAAAAAAAAAGAAAAAGAAAAAGAAAGAAAAAAATCTAGCAACAGGGTAGGAATTGGAGAGGGTGGAAATGCTGGATGAGGAGTAGGGGGAGTATGTCGGTGTGTGGGTGTATTTGTGTGTGAGAGAGAATGAACTGTTGCAGGCTGTGTGACATGACCACCTTGCCCCAGATGGCCCCACAAATCTTCTGTAAAGACTACTGATATCATTACGTGCTTGACATGGTTGAATTTCCTGCAGAAACAAGGGGTGATTTTCCATATACACATAAGTGGAAAAGGTGACTTATGAATTTATGTATAGTTGGCAGATAGTGTATTTGACAGAATACTTGCCATTCTGCAGGTCTCTCCTTTTCCTGAACTGTAAATATAGCCAAATAGATCAAGAATAGGGACCAGAATTGTCACTGATAAAGGACTATAATAATTTTTCCTCTAATGTCATAATAGCCAACTCAATTACTAAATTGAATAAAATGGACAAATACTTAGGTTATTCGTCCATTTAACTCCACCTCATAGGTTTCTCAAAAGACATAATGGTAGCTTTTCAGATGGTATCAACAATGGTAATTCCTTTTCTTCATTTATTTGCCTTTAGGGTAACTACACATAAAACCCTAAAGTAACATGCTAAGTTATAATGCTATGATGTGGCCATCTCCATGTAAAAAAGATAGTTGCAATAAGAAGGGCCAGGGCCCCTATCACAGGCTCTGCTCTTTTTTCTCTTCAATTACATTTGGTGAGCTTATACAATCTCCTGGTCAATTATTATTGTGAAAGCTTTCCTAATCCACCAGCAGTCTCTTATCCCTCTCCACTCAGTTTGCAGTTACCAATATGAACTTCTTTCAATGCAAATAAATGATGATATTGCTTCCCTGGTTAAAACCAGTCAATGACTCTCAGTAGCTCAAACAATAAATTTAGGTCTCCTACAGTAACAGAGAAGGTTGCTCATGATCTGGTTCTTACCAGTCTCTCTATCCCCATTTTCCCATTGGCTCTCCATGTAGTACAGGTATGAAAGAGCCCACCTCCAACTCTTTTAAGAAGCTTCAGTAGCTGCTGAGGCTCCAGTCCTCATAGTTGGACCCCCCGGACTCCAGTATCCACTTTCCAGGAATGAGCAAGATGCACTGTGGTCCAGAGGCAGCTGGGCACAAGAAAGCTGCCCGACAGGGACAGGGATGCCTTCTGTTGCATGCACTCTTGTTGGTCTCTTTCTTTATGGGATTGAATGTAAGATGGACAGAGAAAGCAGCCACTAAAAAGGGTGTCAGTTAACTGGTGGATGCAGACACAGAGCTGAATCACCATAACATAGGTAGCCATGGAAGACTGCTGTGATTGCACAAGAATTATAATAACCAGATCCTCAGAAGAGTGCTGTTATTTTAATAGGCATCTAGTTTTCTCTGACATCCCTGAGATGATCTCCTGATGTTTAATTCTCCATGTATCATTGTAATAAATGCTAAGTATCTAAGGAAACCCTATGTGTATTTTTGTTCTTGCATCCACACTCTTTGCTCTTGTCATCCAAACAAGCTGTGCTTCCTCTCACATACCTCTCTGATTCACACCTAAGGGCCTCACAGCTTGCGCCTGCAAGACTTTCTTTCCCCTTTAGCAGAAATAACGCCTACTTTCTCTCAATGACCCGGCTCAGGAGTTATCTTCTTTGTCACTCAAATTTCTTTTGTGTATCTGTCAACATGTGAGTACTCAGAAAATGCCCCAGAGACTAACTGATCATTTCAAAGGATTAGGAAGACTGAGTGATGTCCTTCCCACAGCTACCCACAGGCAGTGATGACTTCAAGGGTGATGAAAGTCAAATTTACAGAGACAGAAAGTAGAATAGTAGTGGCCAGGGGTAAGAGGAATGGGGAGTTAGTGTTCAATGGGTACAGAGTTTTAGTTTGGGAAGATGAGAATAGTTCTGCCCCTGTAGTCTCAGGTACCCAGGAGGCTGAGGCCAAGAGTTCAAGATCAGCCTTGGCAACACAGTGAGTCCTCGTCTCTAAAAAAATTTATTCTAAAATTAGCTAGGTGTGGTGACACACCCCTGTAGTCCCAGATACTTGGGAGGCTGAGTCATGAGGATTATGTGAGTTTAAGACCAATCTGAGTGATACAGTGAGACCCCCATCTCAAACAAAGTTAAAGTTCTGGAGGTGGATGGTGGTAATGGTAGCACGACAGTGTGACTATACTTAATATCACTGAACTGTACAGTTAAAAATGGTTAAGATGGTAAATTTTATGTTATGCAGAATTAAAAAACAAAAAGAGGCCAGGCACAGTGGTTCACACCTGTAATCCCAGCATTTTGGGAGGCCGAGGCAGGTGGGTCACCTGAGGTCAGGAGTTTGAGACCAGCCTGGCCAACATAGTGAAACCCTGTCTCTACTAAAAATACAAAAAGTTAGCTAGCATGGTGGCGGGCGCCTGTAATCCCAGCTACTCGGGAGGCTAAGGCAGGAGAATCACTTGAACCCAGGAGGTGGAGGCTGCAGTGAGCTGAGATTGCGCTATTGCACTCCAGCCTGGGCAACAAGAGTGAAACTCTGTCTCAAAAACAAAAACAATCCCCCCCCCCCACAAATAAAAAACAGCAATGAAGGTCTCCAGTCCCCAAATGCTTTCCCAATCAGCTTGCCCTTGTAAGGTCCTGGGATGGGTGGAATGCCAGGTGTGGGTGAGGTGCCCCGGGAAAGCCTGGGAAAAGAAGGCATTAGCAGGCAATCAGATGAAACTGACAAATGACTGAGTGATGGCATGGAAAAGATGTGAAGACAAATTACACCTGTTTCAGAATTTGATTTGGGAAAATGACAACATGTATCTGAGGAAAAAATGTGTCTAGAGGAAGCAGTAGTAAATTTTTATTAATCCCATTCTACCATTTTGAGAAGTGTATTACAAGGACACCAATATGCAAAAAAAAAAAAAGGAGAGAGAGAGAGAAGAATAGAGATGAATTAGGAATGGAGGATGCTGTCACAAAAGGCTGGAAAAGGGTTAAGTCACTTAAACAGAATCCTAGAAAGACAGAAAAGTTCCCCATCAATTTCACTGTCTCCAAGTACAGAAATGAAGATATAAGAGAGAAGAATAAAATGTTACATGGGAAAAGAACTGATTTCTTATGACTTTGGGGAACATAAAGACTGCAAGTTGAGTAAACAAATGGGATTTACCCGTTTTTGAAATATAATCAGACAAATTTGGACTTTATTTCAGAGAACCAAAATATATCTATTATATATCTGGAGTAGCTTATCCTTACTTCCCTTCTGCGTTTTTTTTATGAACTTTAAAATTTTTTAGAAGTTTACTTCTTTTTTTTCTTTTTGAATTGAGAATTACCAATATTGAGAAAGAAAATCTGCTAATCAGGTGTTAATATTTAATAATTAAAGGGTACATTAATTTGTGATGCATTTATTTAAATCTTACATTGCTAGGCACTATTCTAAGAACTGAGAAGACTAAAGTAAGAAAAACATCACTGTGGGCTAGGCGCGGTGGCTCACACCTGTAATCCCAGGACTTTGGGAGGCCAAAGCGTGTGGATCTTCTGAGCTCAGGAGTTCGAGACCAGCCTGGGCAATATGACAAAATCCTGTCTCTACCAAAAAAAAAAAAAAAAATTAGCTGGCTGTAGTGGCATGTGCCTGTGGTCCCAACTACTTGGGAGGCTGAGGTGGGAGGATTGCTTGGGCTTGGGAGGCAGAGGCTGCAGAGAGCCGAGATCGTGCCACTACATTCCAGCCTGGGCAACAGAGTCAAACTCTGTCTCAAAAAAAAGAAAAGAAAACATGATTACTGTACTCAAAGGACCCTTTAACTGAAGATTATCCATATATACATGCATGCATGTACATACACAATATATAATATATAATCACATAATATGCAATTATTAATTTAAAAAAACCAGTTTGATATGTACTTTAATAGAAATCTGGGGCCGGGCATGGTAGCTCACACCTATAATCCCAGCACTTTCGGAGGCTGAGGCAGGTGCATCACCTGAGGCCAGGAGTTTGAGATCAGCCTGGCCAACATGTCTCTACTAAAAATACAAAAAACTTTAGCCAGGCACGGTGGCAGGCACCTGTAATCTCAGCTGCTCAGGAGTCTGAGGCAGGAGAATCGCTTGAACCTAGGAGGCGAAAGTGGCAGTGAGCCGAGATCACACCACTCTACTCCAGCCTGGGCGACAGAATGAGACTCTGTCTCAAAAACAAAACAAAACAAAACAAATCTGGAAAAAATGCAATGGGAAAAAAGAGATGGGAAAAATCACTCAGCCTACAGGAGGATTGTGGGGCATGGAGATGGTGAGAGAAAGAGAAGAAAAAGAACTTCAGGAGGGGGATGGCTGCATGGAAAAGAGGGCGAAGGAGCTGATCCTGAAGGATGAAAGGAGGGTATGTGGTACAAGTGGTAAGATGAGGCTGAATAGACAGGCGTTGGTTCAATTACAACAGACCTTGAATAAAGAATTTGTAGTTTCTTTTGTAGAACACATACACTGACAAGAGAGTGCTGTCTAGGGAAGGAGTTGGCAAACTTTTTCTTAAAGGGCCAGACAGTAAATAATTTAGGCTGTGGTCTTTGTCTCCACTACTCAGTTCTGCCACTGTGGTGCAAAAGCAGAAACAGACAATACATAAACAAGTGGGCATGGGTGAGCTGTTATAAAACTTCCCTTACAAAATAAGGTAGGTAGCCTGTAGGTTATAGTTTGCTGACTCCTGTCCCAAAGAGTAACTGGTGATAGTCCAGAGGCAGTCAGGTGAGAAATGATGAAGGTCTAACTGAGGCAGTGAAGATGGGAATAGTGAAAAGGAAATGGTTTTGAGAGATTTCTAGGAAACAGAATTAATAGAACTTCATGAATGATTATTTGAGGGAGGCTAGAAAAGTCAAAGATACACCAGGGTCTTCTGACTGAGTAAACAGTGATGTTACTAATTGAGACAGTGGAACCTCAGCTAGAGGAATGTGTAAATTCTAGGAACACAAGTACCATTTCAGAAAGGATTCCCTTACTCTTGTAAAGCTGGGGGAGGAGCCATGATTCAGGAGTTCCTTGGAAGAACAGTGTGGCAAAAGACCAAGATTTGTAGTTCCCAAATCTAATTAAAGGGTTCTGCTTAAGATGGAGTACATCCTCTCTCTCCCACTGATTACAACTAAACAGCCTGGAGAGACTATATAACACAACTATTGGAGGACTCTGAAAAGTAAGTAAGAGCAGGTGGACTGAGGAAAATAACTAATACTCAAAGAATGACATACCATAGTTAATTCTGTTTTTATTTTTCGCCTTCCATATCTCCTGGCTTAGACTTTCCTGTTTCCTGGAACTGCAAATGGGAACAGACAGAAAAAGCTCCAAGAAAAGTTCCTTTAGTCGGAGTACCGGGTAGAAGGTCCCCTGTGGGGTGAAGCTCTGTAGAAATTTCTGGCCTCACTCTGAGTTTCAGAAACAAAGCTACACAATGCAGGGGTGGCAGTGAGTGCAGTGGCAGTAGTGCCTTCTATGAGCTCTTTTCTTTCACTGCTTTGCCCACAGAGAGACCAATTGCAGAGAGAGCATCATGGCATGAAGAGGATCAAGCCTTGGCTATATAGCCAGAGTACTAGGAAAGGAAATTCTTGGGAGACAGGAAGAATGGGGAGGATCACAGAGGGGAGGGAGCTCAAGAAAGGGATGCTAAATTCTGTATATGAAGTCAGACTCATCTCCAAGGTGCACAAGTGTAGAACAAACCAATGGATCAATATAACAAGGACTTCTATCTGTTAAAATTTAAAAAGTTAATGTCTTCCTAAAGATTTTAACAGAATCCAGAGTCCTAGAACATAATATTCAAAAGGTCTAGAATATAATCCAAAATTATCTGACTTTTAAAAAACTAAACAACTCTCAAAGGGCAAAAGCAATGAAAAGATGCCAACCCCAACTAGATGCAGATGTTAGAATTATAGCCAAAGACTATGAGGTAGTTATTATAACCATGCTCCATGAAGTAATGGTGAACATTTTTGAATAAATAAAAAGATAGACATTCTTTGCAAAGAAATTGAAGTTGTAAAAAGAAAATAACTACATGGAAATTTTAGAACTGAATAATGCAATAACAAAAATAAACATTTCACTGGAAAGGCTCAATAGCTGAATGAAGTGACAGAAGAAAATCAGTGGACTTAAATCAATAGACATTAGTGATCTGAAAAAAAAGTTGAACAAAAATGAACAGAGTTCCAGGAACCTATGGAACAATATCAAAAGGCCCAACATTAATGCCATTACAGTCCTCAAAATGAGAAGAACTGGTAGAGAAATATATTTAAGGATATAACACTTGGGAACTTCCCGAATTTGGTAAAGGAAATAAATGTACAGATCCAAGAAACTCAGCAAACCCAAACAAGTTAAACTAAACAGGAAAACCATGTCCATACATACAATAATCAAACCACTGAAAACCAAAGATAAAGTCCTGAAGATAACCAGAAAAAAGTTACAAATTTCATGTAGGTGAGTAATTTATTTTTATTATTTTTTGAGACAGGGTCTGGCTCTGTCATCCAGGGTGGAGTGCAGTGGTGCAATTTTGGCTCACTGCAGCCTCTGCCTCCCAGGCTCAAGTGATCCACCTCAGCCTCCCGAATAGCTGGGACTACAGATGTATACCACCATGCCTGGCTAATTTTTTGTATTTTTGGTGGAGATGGGGGTTTCGCCACATTTTCCAGGCTGGTCCATAACTCCTGGGCTCAAGCGATCCACCTGCCTTGGCCACCCAAAGTGATGGGATTACAGGCGTGAGCCACCAGGTCCGGCCTCGTAGGTGAGTAATTTAAATGACTGCATATTTCTCGTTAGACACCATTAAGGCCAGAACACAGTGGAATTATATTTTTAAAGTACTGAAACAAAAGAACTATTCACCTACAATACTGTATCCAGCAAACATATCCTTCAGGGATGAAGGTGAAATAAAGACATTCTTAGATGAAGGAAAACTAAGAAGATTCTTCACCACTGCATCTGCTTTAAAAGAAATACTAAAACAAGCTCTTCAGGCTCAACAAAAAATTATAATAACAGAAGGAACCTGGGAACTTCATGAATGCAGAAAGAAGAACAGAAATGGCAAACATCTGAGTAAATAGAATAAAGTATTTTTATCCTCTTAAATTTGTTAAAATAGGTATGACTATTGAAAGGCAAAAATTATGACATCATTTGATGGGACTTTCAATGTATGTGGATGTAATACATATGACAACTACAACATACAGTGGGGAGGATAATGAGACCTATATAGTTGTAAAATTCTCATATTTAACTTTGATATGGTTTGGCTGTGTTCCCACCCAAATCTCATCTTCAATTGTAGCTCCCACAATTCCCATGTGTCATGGGAGGGAGCAGGTGGGAGGTAATTGAATCATGGGGGATGGTCTTTCCCATGCTGCTCTCATAATAGTGAATAAGTCTCACAAGATCTGATGGTTTTATAAGGGGGAGTTACCCTACACAAACTCTCTCTTGTCTGCTGCCATGTAAGATGTGCCTTTTGCCTTCCACCATGATTGTGAGGCCTCCCCAGCCACGCGGAACTGTAAGTCCATTAAACCTCTTTTTCTTTTTAAATTACCCAGTCTCAGGTATGTCTTTATCAGCAGTGTGAAAACAGACTAATACAAACTTGAAGTGGTAAAATCTTAACTATAAGCAGACTGTAAGAAGTTATGTATGTATTTTGTAATCCCAAGAGCAACCTCTGAAAAAGTATGCAGAGATATAGTCAAACAACCTACATGTGTGCCTATATGTATCATGTATATGATATATATAGAATCTGCAGAAATATTCAACTAAAAATAAATTTTAATTTTAAAGTAGAAATGCTTGAGTCTTCCACTCAAATTATGAAAAGCGTAGGAATGATCATGCTTAATACACCAGCCCCTTCCCCAATCTAAGCCAAAAGACAGAATTACCTGTAAAGTTCTGTGCTTTGAGATGCAGATCATAGAGTTTGTGAATGTAGCGTATATACATCTCCTCCTTGTTCAGTTCAGTCTTATAGAAGTTCTGTAAAATAAGAGTACAGGTATGGATAGTTCCTCAACAGTCTGGCCTACAATTATCTGCCTTTTACTCTGCTAACGTTCCATGTCTGAAGCCAAGAGAACTGATGCATTTTTCCATGTAAATATCTCTAAAAATGAAGTAAGGTGGGTCAGTGACAGTGTCAGTCATTTCCTAGCAATTACTGGATAAGTTGGTATCTTGTTATTTTTTATTTTATTATATTTATTTATTTATTTTTTTGAGACCGAGTCTCGCTGTGTCGCCCAGGCTGGAGCGCAGTGGCCGGATCTCAGCTCACTGCAAGCTCCACCTCCTGGGTTTACACCATTCTCCTGCCTCAGCCTCCTGAGTAGCTGGGACTACAGGCGCCTGCCACCACACCCGGCTAGTTTTTTGTATTTTTCTTTAGTAGAGATGGGGTTTCACCATGTTAGCCAGGATGGTCTCGATCTCCTGACCTTGTCTCGGCCTCCCAAAGTGCTGGGATTACAAGCTTGAGCCACCGCGCCTGGCCCCCATCTTGTTATTATCAGGTTATTATCCCTGATTCCTATTTCTTTACTTTTTATGATTTTTTGTTAGTTTAAATGTCAATGAACAATCAGCCTGTTCAACTAAAAAATATTAAGAATATGTAACAGATTAACCCATTTATTAACTTTGTTGATTTATATTCAAAGGACAGTTTATTTCATTTTAAATTTCAAAGATATTTTGCTCTAAAGAAAAAAGTTTCAGCTGGGCACGGTGGCTCACGCCTGTAATCCCAGCACTTTGGGAGGCCAGGGTGGGTGGATCACAAGGTCAAAAGATCGAGACCATCCTGGCCAACATGGTGAAACCCCATCTCTACTAAAAATACAAAAATTAGCTGGGTGTGGTGGCACACACCTGTAATCCCAGCTACTTGGGAGGCTGAGGCAGAAGAATTGCTTGAAGCAAGGAGGCAGAGGCTGCAGTGAGCCAAGATCATGCCACTGCACTGCAGCCTGGTGACAGAGCAAGACTCCATCTCAAAAAAGAAAAAAAAAAAAAAAAGCAAAAAGTCTCTAAGACATACAGGTAAGGATGAGTAAAAGCAATGTAAAAGAATGTGAAGGAGGGTAAATAAAAAGGCTCTTTATTTTTAAGATGTTATTCTGCATTTCCTACGTGCTGGACTTCAAATGTTTCTAGTTTATGTCCAAAACATAAAGGGACTAAGAGATTTTATTTCAAATTATTATTATAGAAACATGCTTACTGAAAATATTTTGTTTCCTAAGAAGTATTTAGATCTTAGGAAACATCTCTAAAATGTTTTTAACAAAAACTCAACTTTTACTTACCTGGACACATTATGTTGGCTATTTTATTTTTAGACAGAGTCTCACTCTGTCACCCAGGCTGGAGTGCAGTGGTGCAATCTCAGCTCACGGCAACCTCCGCCTCCCGAGTTCAAGTGATTCTCCTGCCTCAGCCTCCTGAGTAACTGGGATTACAAGTGTGCACCACCACACCCAACTAAGAATTTTTAGTAGAGATGGGGCTTTGCCATGATGCCTAGGCTGGTCTTGAACTCCTGACCTCAAGTGATTCACCTGCCTCGGCCTCCCAAAGTGCTGGGATTACAGGCATGAACCACTGATCCTGGCCTAGGCTGGCATTTTAAAGGCATACTCATAAGCATCCAAAGCTACTTCTTCACCACATTATAAAGCACATAAGTCCTCACTGAACTTAGTCAACATAAAAGTGAATATAAATGAAGTTGGGTTCTAGTAAAAGCATAATGTTGTCAGTCTCCAAACAAGACATGTTTAGAGAACAAATCATTGTGCATTATGAAATCTCTGCTGGAGACACTTGAACTACTATCACTATTTATTGTTACTGTTTTAATTGATGCTAGTTGGTGTGTGGAAGAAGGGGAAATCAGTGATGAGGGAATAAATCTGTTGACTTGCGGGAGTGACAGGCTTTTCTAAGGAGGAAAGACCAGGAATTCTAAAAACGTTTTAAAGCTGATTAGCTAGACAGGGCTTTGGTAATAATGGACCAACCTAGCAAGTGTGGCTGTTGAAATGGTACTTGGGCTTGAAGCCTAAGGATCTGCTATCAAATGTACTTTCTGCCCATTACCTAACAGATGTCCGTTCTTCAATCTGAAGACTCTTCCAACTTTGAGACACTGATATTAAGTCAAATACAACATAAATTTTTTTTCAATTTATACCATTATCCTCCTTCTTTTACTCTTGTCTCCTGTAGATCTTGGCATTCTTTAAAAAGTTTAGTAAATAATGCTATTCACATCTCTCTTATTATAACCAAAATTATTTTAATTAGCAAGAATTGTTGTACCATAAACACAAATCTAACAACTCCACAGCAGGTTTTTATATTATTAAAGGATGATTTGCTCTAATAGCTTTCTGGTAAGAAGCAGCTTTGAGAACAAAACAAGCAATCACTCTAAATAAATAGTTATCTTAAAAAAAAAAATCTCCAGTCAGCAGATGATAATCTTTCAAATGTCTGACAAAGTGTGTGACACAAAGAACAAAACAATAATTACATTTCCTAGTATTAGTCATATCAAATATTACTTTTTTAAAAAAACCAATTTAACTCCAATCTTGTAAGGGATGCCAAAGCTCTCCTGAAGACAATCTGGAACTGACTTTTCCAAAAAGTTAAGAGAAGTCTCTAAGAGGAAGTGAGTAATTGAAGAGAACCACATTGCTACTAGAAAAAAATCAAGAACTTTCCATGTGGAGTAGAGGCTAAAACGATTAGCTTCAAAGTGATATTTTTGGTTCTTTAATAAGTATTCTTCTGCTAGTCTGAAATAAGTAGAGCTTTTGAAGTGTTAAAATTTTCTAGAAGGACTATTCTTGGTCAGTGCAAAGCTATCAGGATAACGTCCCAAGTGGTTAGTAATGTGGCCACTGATTATACTATGTTAAATCTCAGGTGTATTCCTACTGGGAGACTAAATACATTAAAGGCAGAGCATTAACTCTTTCATCCAAGGAAGTGATCTCTTCTTTTATACCAATTGTGGAAATGAACATAAGGTCTACATTTATTTGTTCGCCTCCAAATGGAAGGTACTTGTGAAAGAAGATGGAAGAATGGAGAGCATTACTTTGGGGAAAGGTAAAGGCTTTGAGGTTATTTATGAGACTTTGTGCCTGGAGTTGAGGCAGAATCAGGGTTAAGAAGACAGAGAAGACCTAAAGCACTTAGCTTTTCTCCCAACACTGACATACAAGCAGAGACATGGGAGAAACTCAGGCTGAAGGTCTTGACTCTGATGAGAGGCTGGCAAAAGCAGGTAAGAAACTGGAGAATCAACTAGGAAATTTAAGAGAGGGAATGACTATGTTCAAGGTTAGAAATGAGTATTGAGAGCAGAGGTCAATGGTCTGACCCAGTGAGCCTGGGCTGATGGCCTACAGGTTACCGTTGGGTCTAATGAAAACATTATGGAAGACAGTGAACAAGATGTGGCCTGATAGAGGATGCTTAGGTTTCACTATTTTTAGGGACCGATATTGGAGGTGGAGATGTAACAATTAGACTAAAAATGTGGAGGAGGCAGTGGGTGTGATAAAGACAGATACCATCCTAGACTCAGAGATGAGGAGCAGTGCAGCAAAAAATGAGGAAAATTGATGAAAAGACCGTCACAAGAAAGCAGAAGCCCTGAGCTTTGAAGACGGACTGTGACAGAAGGAGACAAAGTAATACAAAACAAAACAAAACAAAAAGACAGAAACTGATGAGCTAAGAAAAGGCAAAATCAAAGTAGGGACAAAAAAGAATTTCAAGGTGCAAGCAAATAGAGAACAATATGGTATGTGAGGAACTCAAATGATCAGAGTAAGGATAAGGATGACTGTGCAGAACTTAGAATGTAATAGATGGCAAGGATTCCTTTATTCTATAAAATATAACAAAAAGAAACCATGAGATTCATAAATACAGAACTAGACTTTTCCTGTATTTCATATTTTCCTGTACTTCAGATCTGATTAAAGGAACTTATGAAAAACATTAATTTGACTTATGCTAAAATATGAAAAATAAATGTCTAAATGTAGGGCCACTCCTTTGCTCTGCGGTAAGAATATCATTCTATTTAATAGTTAGTTATGTGACATTTTATATAAATTTTGGCTTGCCCAGGACAGCTTTGGATTAGCCTGTTATTCTTACAGAATGTTTAATTTTACTCTCAAAAATGTCCTCCTTGGTCATCCTAGTTATAAAGCAAACCTTAACAAAAGTGCTATTATGAATTCAATTTGCAAAAAAGCTAGAGTGAAAATTAGCGTGTTAAATAGAAAACTGTCATAAGTTCACAAATGAAGAGATCACTAATATTTAAGAAAATATGGACTGCATATCACTCTGTGAGAAAGGAAAAGAAGAACAGAAAGAAATTGTTACACAAAAGTAGAAAGACCTCTAACAGGGGACACAGTGCTTTTTCCCAGGACAGCAACAAGACTCTAGGAGGGTGAAGTAGTACAACCAGGAAACCAAACAGCATCACTCTGGGATCCCACAGGGGTCTCCTATTAGGGCTGCGGGGAATGCAGGGGATGCACTTTGTAATGTCGGGGACTGAGGATTTCCTGGGCTTTAATTTAACCTGTAGCTCACTATGCTTCTCTTAAAAACACTTGTAAATTTAGAAATAACTCTTCTAAGAAACATCACATTGCAGATTAAACACAAACAAAACATAGTATTTCTGGGAAAAAAAAATACCAGTATTAGGAGAAAAGGAAAAAAAGGGGAATAGTTTACTAACCAGAAGGCTAACTGTGCAGCCAATCTTTTTGCCATCTACCTCTCCCATTTTCATGCAGTCCCTAAAAACAAAAAGCAATAGTCAGAACTCAGAACTTCCTTCCTAGGGGCAAACACAATTTTTTCTTTTTGGGGGGAAAAAAAGAAAGAAAGGAAGAAAAAAAAAAAGAAGCCACTTTTAGAGACCAGAGGCAATTTGCATGCTTCAAGGACTGATAATCTAATCTCTGGGGAATCTGGGGAGTCAGAGACTCCTGAGCATCAGCTTCCGTTAAGAATTGCATTGCCATGTCAAGATTATGCTCCCTCTCAATGGACATGGGCTCAGGAAGTTAGAGTGAAAGTGTGTTATTGTACACTTTCTACAGTGGGATGAGAAGTGGTTGGTAAGCCTGGCCATTAACAACGAGAATGAGGGTTTCATTCCTAAAATAACACCAAACCACCATGTATTTAAGTGGGATGAACTACTTTAACAGTTTAGATAATATAAAAATAAAAAACATAGGTCTACGGAAGGTGACAGTGTAAGTTTCATCCCACCCACGTCCCCTTTTTAAGAGAATAGCAAGACTGTACAATTCTCCGTTACACTCTTTTCACCCGAAAATGGATTGGTTCTACTGGTTCTAGGGGCTAAGTTTAAATACCAAAATAAAGATTCTTTTTTTTTTTTTTTTTGAGAACTCTCAGGGACTCTGAGAATCCTCTCAATTCACCAAGACTTTGAAAGAACTATCAAAAAACAAAACAAAGCAACAAAAAAGAAGCAAAAGCTCAAATTAACGGCTCTGAACCAGCTGGTTAGAAGTTCATTATCTTAGTACACCAGGTTCCATGGTCTGATAATCAATTGAGTGATTCACAAGAGTGGAACGTTGATTGTATTCTATTTGATTTTCTAACTGGAGTTTAGCATGAACTGGAGTTCAGAAAAACATGCGACTTGGCTTACCTGTAATCTAACAACCTCTCCATTAGACGAGTTACAGTAGCAATTAATGAAACGCCACTTTCCCGCCATGTTTCCCGCTCAATTTTCTTTAGTAGACTGGAAAAGAAAGAACCCGGGGCATTTTCAACATTTATTTTTATCAGTCACCATGACAACCACTTTACTTTCATCAGTACCTTAAATGCCTTAGCAACCACTGCAACATCTCACAAGTAGCATAATTTGCAAACAATGTCTTACCTAGGATAGGGACCAAATAGTGGAATTCTAATCCAGGAAGCATTGACAAAGCAAATTGATTTTCAGATTATCCAAGTCATAAAATACAAACACATGCATATAATCATATTTTCAAAATACACAAGCATCTCACAGCTCAAAGACATTTTTTCCTAGCTTCCCCTCTTACACTAACAGAGGCTTGCGTCTTACCACATCAAATAACACTGCAAAAAGCAAAAACAGGAGTGCCTCCAAGTTTACTTTTAAGCAAGATCTTGCTTTATTCACATAAAAATATTTTCCTACCTCTCAGTGGAATGCATCTTCATCCAAGCAATTTTACTGCAATGCAACTGCTACAGGAAAATCCTTGTACAGACGGTATGACGTTTTGCGTTTTTTCCTTTCACTTAACATTTGCCCACTCAATACATATTGTACTATCTGTGCACTCACTCAACAGTTTCATTCATTTTGTCACTGATCACAGAGATTTTCTGTGTGGTTGTTAGAGCAGACTGATGACAAGTACCGAACCACATCTCTCCTCCTACATTTCCCCTAATCCTAAGCACCTTGGAGCAGAGGTACTATGTAAACACAAAATAATAACAATCATGATAATTAGAATCTGTGTTACTTTCACTCCCACTTCTCAGCAAATTAACACAGTATTTGGCAAAGGCTTTATGATTGAACTTTCCCCAAAAGATAAAAGTAAGAACATAAGCATGGCAATATGTGGATACTTCCCTACCCCTCGAAATTTAATGATCGTCATTTCTGTCTAGAATCTTATTTGTCTTTCATCTTAATTTCAGGAATAAGAGAGAAAACATTTCTTACAAGTACAATCTAAGCATATCATATATGTACTTAGTTCAAAAATAAACATTCAAGAAGAAAGCTGTTTTGTCAAAGCTTTCTCTTGTCTGTGGCTATGTTCTCTTCCAAGTTTTCTCTCCATCATCCCCCATCTCTTTCTCTTGCTATTGGCATTCTAGTGCCCAGCCTTCTGTCTTGTCTCCTCCTCTGTTTCCTATGCATCTCTCATCCTGTTTTTCTGGTTTATTCTAAACTGTTTCTTAGGTTAAGGGTGGAGACTGTATATGGAAGGCATGGAATCTGCCCTGACCAGTCCTGCAGGGGAAGGTCCCCTAGTTTGTTTAAAATGTGCTTTCTTTTAAAAACTCTGAGCAGCACCTGTTTCAGGCTTAAAGTGCAAATTGTATTGAACTCAAATGAAAATCTGCCTGCCAAAAAGCAATGCGGAATGATGTAGAAATTTCCCCGTGACAGCCTACACCTCATACTTTAGAGGCTGAAAAACAAAGAACTCAGGTTAGGTAATAATTCTAAAAATACATGGAGACTTCTTTTATGGGCATAAGTTTCATTAATTTGCACAGACTTCTGATGCAGTAAGAACTACACAATCGTCTTGTAAGAAGAGGCAAAGTTATGCACAGCCTGTTTCCTTGACTAACTCAAGACCAAATGCTAGGACTGAGTCTAAAACCCAGATCATCTGTGTGCTCAGCCAGCCTTGTTCCTTCTCTCGGGAAGCTTGCCATTTCTGTTTACCTGATACAAACTGAGAAAGAGAGGCTATCAGCAAAAAGACAAGACTCTTTCTAGGTAACCTGGGTGAGAGTGGCTATTTTCATTTGCTCTATGATAACGCCCACGTGCCCACATTGAGCATATAGGGAGCCCTAATAACAGTGAAAGGGGGTTTCTCATTGCTAATTGATAAGGCTTCTTTCTTCTGTGCAATAGAAATTCCTAACACTGGGAAGCAAGATAATGGCCCTGCAGGGATGACACTGCTCACCAGGTTTTCACTCTATGAAAGAAATTTGTGTGTGTGTTGGGGATTTGACCCTCAATCTCCCTCTCTTGGTATCATAACGGGGTTATGTAGAAGTCATCACTCTAATACATAACAGCTGTGTCTGTACATGCTCTTTTTAATCCAAAGAGAAGAGTTAAAGATGTAAGGTACGGTGTCACATAGTGAATTCTCTGTCTCCAAATGGTAATTAAATGTGTGATCACTAAAAACCTTGAAATAATGTGGAGTCTTACTGAATTGTTTAGAACTACATAGGAGAAGGCAGAGTGAAAGACTAAGAAAGACCTGAGATGAACGTTACTTCTTCTGGAAAGTCCCTTTGGAACCCCCAAGACTGTAGGTAGACCTACTGTGTGCTCCTACAGCACAGTCACTGCTGCATGCCCAGCCCTGGGGAGTGCCCAGTAAATACAGTGGAATGAGCGAATCAAGTGGAGCCAGGGGAAGCAGAATTTAGTTGTGATACTCTCTTCTGGATATTGCATGTCGGTGTCTATAATCTAGAATTTCAGTGTTATCAAAATGAATATATCTTTTTGAAACTTATTTCAAAAAGATGTAGTATGCATTAATGAAGATAATGTTTGGGCTTAGGGAAAGACGAGTTGAGTTCTTAGGAAGGAAGGTACTAGACAAATTTAAAGTTTTACTCCAAGCGGGCCATTTTGGCAAGCACTACAATTTAGAAAGCAGTGAACTACTTACAGCTTTTCAGCTTCAGAACAAATTTTAAAAAGTTTTAGACATGAATTACACAGAACAAATGAGAATTTGTACCATATAACGGCATGTGTTCTTAATTCATATCGTGTGCAGTGACTCATTGTGATTATACTAATTCATTGTGATTTCTGTTGCCAAAAAAGCAATTTATTGTTTCCTGAAATAAAGTAATATTTGCACCTTCTTTCTTGTGCTCAGGTAGTAATGACACTTAAGTATCACTTCAGATTTGATTTATTCCCAGTATGCTGATCGTAAAAGCATGAAAGGAAATTATTTATAGTAGCATTTCCAGTAATATCCTAAAAATCAACAAAAGTATAAAAATCTCTATTGAATGAATCAGACACCTTAAAATATTCCTAATTATAGAGGCTTAATATTTTAATTATTGGTTTGATTCTAATGTCGAGGCACATCTTCTATTTCAAAGTCATATTTATACACAAGCAATTGAAATTGCATACTATCAAGCCTTTATTAAAGTAGATAAGAGGCACTAAAGAACTATGTGAGTATTTATTAATCTTGTGAATTTGTTATAAATAATTAATCACAAATCTCAAGAGATTCATTTCACTGAGTGCTTTCTCATTTTGGTTCTTTGTTCAAACCAAGGACTAGTAACTGAAATGAGAGCAGTTTTCAAAAGCAATTTATTACACTGCATGAGATTTTAATCAGAATTCTTGCTAAACTCCAAGCTGTCATAAAAGACTGAAGCTTTGTACACTAGAATGAATGAGGTCTTAGTGGATAATTATGAAAACTTCTGGTTTAATTACCATATCAGAAAAAAATGATATTGCTCAGAATCCAGTACAAAGAATATATTTTATCACCCACCACCACCACAGGAAATCTCTATACCCTTCTTGGCTTTTCCTTTTAATGTAATTTTCTTAAAAGCTTCAAGATAATTTTTAATCAGGCATGCTAAAATCTATCTAACCTATTAGTCACTAATAATATTCTTCAAGCCTATATATTAATGTTTCTACTGTTGTAAATTCATGATCATAAAATGAATTACAAAGTTTTGGACCTGGCCATCAATACTAACACACTGATACTTAGTTTTGGGTGATACTTGGGCATAAATACAAACACAAATATATTTTGTTTTAGAAAAATGTGTTACTGAATTATTTTGCACTTCTGAAAGAACTGCAAAAATTTTTCAAGCACAATAAGCGAATTCTTCTTTCAAAAAGAAATACTTAGCACATATGTTAGATTTGAAAATGACTAAGATCCATAGGAAACTGTAGAGAAAACAAGTGCCAGAAGTAAAATCCCAAAGCACTAAAACATTCTCACTGTATCTTCTGGCCATTTAAACACAACGCATGAATACTTGGTACAAGCAATTCATCCTGTGGCTATGATCAGATTCTATGGGTAGGGCAACCTTAAAGCCTCTTCACAGCATTCCATTATTTCTCTATCTTCCATACAAATCCAAAATACAGAATTTACTAAAAGTGATTTGCTTCTGAGACATTCTAATAAAAGGCATTTAGGAAGCAATTAATGCTGAGTGAACAATCAGTATTAATGAATTAAATCAGATGTTGAAGAACAAATGCAAACTAGGTTAATTTTTCAACAGCAAATCAGCATCAGTATCTGGCTTTGGAAAGAAGTGCACACAAACATTACAATCACTCCCCTTTTGCCCTCTCCCACTTATAACCCCACTTAAAATCATTATCTCGCAGCAATGGTTTTAAAATTATCAGGCATGAAAAGAGTGAGATTTGTTATGTAACATATGCAACCTGTCCTAATCAGAGATTAAAATAGGAAGACATGCCTAATCATCAACATAATAAGATCCATTCGCCAGAGTTAGGCAATTATCCTTTATTTCACACTCCACAAAGACAAAGCACTCCTGTGAGACCTAAGCTGTCTTTGCAGCTCTCAGCTACCGTGGTGCAGAGAGGCTCAGTACTGACACCAAATCCCCAGAATAGAATCAACTTCAGATAAACATATTACTCACATACTGTTGAAGAGCTCGCGGTATGTTTCGTCACCTTTGCCTTCTGACATCAGGCTATCCAGTTTGTCAATTAGCTTGGCTTCCACCTGAAACATACCCAAATATTATTCTCTTTCCTCCCCTTCACAAGTAGGATTTCTAGGCAAGTTAAAACATATTTATTTATGCCAAGGAAAAAGCCAAGGTAAATTTTGTGAAAGTGACATTATCGGCTACGGCTAATAGCAGGCATCTCTTTGGAATTCTAAGGGACTAATCTAGATAGAGTTACTTGACTTCACACTCCCGGCTGGGTAGCGTTTATTGCTGCCAAAGACATCTATCTATTTGTTGATTCAAACACAAATGCTTGCAGCCCAGTTTAAATGTTTGAATTCTTTTTTAAGAGCTATAAAAACTGGCAAGTCCTGTTTCCTTTTTCTTTTTTTTAAACATCACTATATATAAGGACATCAGGAAACTAACATATCCACATACATTAATTTAAATCTTTGATGTGTTTTACATCTATTTTCTTTCTCAAAACAGTTTGAGGTTGCACTAGATCTTTGCTGAAGTTGAGAACTTGCCTTACCCACGTACAGATGGTAGATTCATAGCAATAGTCTAAGTCAGCAATAAGCAGCGAGAGAGAAAGGACATATTTCCTGAAAACGGTAGTCAAAACATTTATATTTTCCAGGATGTAAATCCTTTGGAACTTGAATATCAGGAATGGAAAAATATTCCTTCATCTATATCTATCTGAGGTGGAAGAGACAGAAAATGAAAAACTTCTCTATGGCCAGAGACAGTTAAAACATTTAGGGACTGGGAGGCATATTTGACTTTGTCAAAAGACTAAGTCCAATTATTATTCCTTTAAACCAAATTTCAATCAAGAGGTAAAGACAGGGGGGAAAGAAAGTGGAGTTTTCTTTCCTAAGTACAATTTTTAAATAGTCTTTCATTCATTTATCAGCTTTCTCGTAAATAAATGTGTATACCAATACAGGCGAAACACCCATGCTTTTGGCAATAGGAGGGTTGCATGTCTGCAGTCAGATTGCTTGACCAGTTGACAACCATTCCTGAGATTTGAGGGAGGCTTCTTCTGGAGAAGCATGAGGAAGTGCCAAACCCTGTGGGCACACAGGTTTGTGCCGTGACTGTGTGAACAGACAGTAGGCCTACTATCTCCAAAATGAAGGACCTGGCAGGGCAAAAGCAGTGGATTCCTTAAGAGATCTGCTTTTGTAATAAGAATGCCTGTTTTCCCAAAATTGGAGCATAACTGTTAGAACCTATGTCAATGAGAAATGGTAAGCTCATTCCCTTGGAATTTCCTTTGTAAGAATTTCCACAGCTCTTTCCTTTAAATTAATTCTCAATGCTTCAAGCAAAGAGCAATAAAACATACTGTGAATCAAATGCTCAAAGCTAAGTGATTCGCCATATACAATGTGCAGACCACTGAGAGCTCAATGAGTTTAATCATTAACTCTCGATTCTTCTGCTCTGTGTCCAACTGGGTGCAAATAAAGTCTCTGCAAGTTCTTAAATACAGATCTGGGAAATCACAAAATTTTTCAGCTGAAAAGGAATCAAATGGTTTCAGGGCTTCACTGGAGGCTCAGGACAACACAGGATCTGAGAAGTATCCACGGCTGTGTGGCTTGGGAGTGGATAGGCCGGGCTGGAATCTAGGTCTGCTGGCCCAGTGTTCATTTCCCAACTCGGAGTTGAATCTGGAAGTTCACAGATGCTTCAGGAGAGCTGAAACTCTTCCAACTCTTCTGAGGAGCACTTCTGCCTACCTGTTTAAAGTTGCCACTCCGCCTCTGCTCCCAGTCCATCATATCATGAAAAATTGGAATCATGACATTCCGAAGATCTGGCTGGGGTATCAAGGTCACTTCTAGGAAGGGGCCAATCAGGGCAGGGATAAAATGAAGCTTGTGCTCTCCTAGAGTGAGAAAAATAATTGAGTTTCAATATATTCAATCTTAATCTGATTTCAGAAATTAACATCATAAAATTTGTTTAAAACTATTGCTACAAATATATTCAATTATAGTTGTCTCCTCAAGCAAGAAAATAAAAGAAAATAATCCATGAGATACAATTACAAATTATATAAATAATCAGGAATTGGGGCCGGGCGCGGTGGCTCAAGCCTGTAATCCCAGCACTTTGGGAGGCCAAGACGGGCGGATCATGAGGTCAGGAGATCGAGATCATCCTGGCTAACCCGGTGAAACCCCGTCTCTACTAAAAAATACAAAAAAAAAAAAAAAAAAACTAGCCGGGCGAGGTGGCGGACGCCTGTAGTCCCAGCTACTCGGGAGGCTGAGGCAGGAGAATGGCATGAACCCGGGGAGGCGGAGCTTGCAGTGAGCTGAGATCCGGTCACTGCACTCCAGCCTGGGCGACAGAGCGAGACTCCGTCTCAGACAAAAAAAAAAAAAATAATAATAATCAGGAATTGGTTATGTACCTTATTGTACAGGCATACATTAAAGTTTTTACGTGATCATTTAAAGTAAGGCTGAAGAAAGATAACATAGGTGAAGTTTTTCAATATAATTAAGTGAAAAAGCAAAAAGCAAGTGCAATACAGTATGTATAGGAACATTTTTAATTAAAACACACATACACACACACACATACACACATACACACACACATATATATATATCTCTTAGTCTAGAGTATTATATCCCTAATGTTAACCACAGAAGTTATCTCTGGATGGTGAGATTATGGGTGATTTTTGTATATGTAAAAAGGTGGTTAGGTGGTTCTCATCTGTATGATATAATTCTTCTTGAGTGTTTTTTTTGAGATGGAGTCTTGCTCTGTCACCCAGGCTGGAGTGCAGTGACACAAACTCAGCTCACTGCTACCTCTGCCTCCCAGGTTGAAGCAAGTCTCTGGTCTCAGCCTCCTGGGTAGCTGGGATTATAGGCACACGTCACCATGGACGGCTAATTTTTGTATTTTAGTACAGATGAGGTTTCACTATGATGGCCAGGCTGGTCTCAAATTCCTGACCTCAGGTGATCTGTCCAGCTTGGCCTCCCAAAGTGCTAGGATTACAGCGTGAGCCACCATGCCTGGCCTGTTTTTTAAAAAATAGAGATGGGGTCTCACAACATTGCCTTGAATTCCTGGGCTCAAGCCATCTACCCGCCTTGGCCTCCCAAAGTGCTGGGATAATAGGCAATGAGCCACCGGGCTGGGCCCCTTGTATTTTTTCTTAACATAATAAATACACAACTTACATAAAAATCTAAATAGTGGTCCCCCCAAAAGAATATACACATTTTGTGAAAAGACTAAAATGTAACAATAGTGAACCCACAATGGTGTTTTACCAGGTGCTAAAAGGTATGGTATTAATAATTCAGAGGAAAGGAAGGTGGGGAATGTATGGACACAGATGGTTTCATGCAGCAGGTGAAAGTTAAGTCTATTATGCTGGTGAGTGTTAAGTCACAGATGCTAATCATCTTTGTTAAATATCATAAGTTTCTAGTTCTATAATATGACTACCGCATGCTATGAAAAATACGTTCAAGAGCTAACCTTCAGCATCATGGTTGAAAGCACATGCTACTAACAGCATCCACTTAGAATTTACAAGTTGGGAGGCTGAGCAGAAAGATAGCTGACTTCATGAAGGAGGGTAATTTTCCAGTGACACTGCAGATTCACAGTGCATAGGTATACTATAAATGACTTTAGAGGGTTTTTTGTGGTTGTTGTTGTTGTTGTTGTTGAGACGGCGTCTCGCTCTGTCACCCAGGCTGGTGTGCAATGGCACAATCTCGGCTCACTGCAACCTCCGCCTCCCGGGCTCAAGTGATTCTCCTGCCTCAGCCTCCTGAGTAGCTAGGGTTACAGGCACGCACCACCACACCCAGCTAATTTTTGTATTTTCAGTAGAGATGGGGTTTCACCATATTGCCCAGGCTGGTCTTGAACTTCTGACCTCAAGTGATCCACCCACCTCGGCCTCCCAAAGTGCTGGGTTTACAGGCGTGAGCCACTGCACCTGGCTTAGAAGGGTTTTTTTAAAGTAATGTGAATATGAAAGAATCTGGGGAGAAGCTAAAATGATGACTGAGATGAGAGCTGGGAAAACATGTGGATGTTTGTGAATTCACTGTTTTTTGGGATTGGAAGTGCCTTGGGAAACCTCCACCATCTTTGGAAGGTGGGCCCCCATCTCTGCACAATCACCTTATTTTCGGTGCTATGGGACATTAGCAAGAACATGACTAAGTCAATAGCAAGTTTTTCATATCTTGGCACAGAAAGTAACACTGACAATAGATGAACACATGAGGAAAGTGGGCACACAATGACTTCTGGACAATCAGTGAAATTGTTGAAACATTTCAAAGCTAAACCCATGTATTATTTTTTCCTTTAGGCTAAAATATCCAGCATCAAGAAGAGTTGTTTGATTATTTCTACCCTCAAGTATTCACTCTCTAATATATCCTCAGAGTATGAGCATTTCTATCATGATAAAACTTTCTTCCCTCTCTCGATGACACAGAAGGGTACCTGTTACTGCACATAGCTGAATATTTTAGATTTGAAGGGCCATGTTGCAATACTGCACATGCCACCAATGTGAGAGAAGAGAATTTAGAAAAACTTCCCTGCAGTCTGTAAGCCAGAGAGGTCATGGTATCTTCTGTCTCTACACATCAACTTTCCTCAACAAGGCATTACAGCAGTCAAAGAAATGATTTGAATTTTTAAGTACTGAAATTGCTATAAACACAAAAAGAGACAAAGCAGTAGGGGTTACTTCTTTCTTGTACATGTTTTGATAAGGAACAAATTATTCATTTCATAGACAGTTTGGGAAGTTTGGGGAATGTCAAGATCATAAAAATGTACCTTATTCTATATTGTATGTGTTTATTGTATTTCCATTTTATCAGCTCATTCAGTCATTATTCATTCAGTGACTCAAGAAATAAGAATGTCTAGTGTATGTTAAACACTGTATTAGGAGAAATACTTGTAAATAGCTAAATCACAATAGGTATTTGGGCTATTGCTAAGCTACAAATCTAGTATCAAGAAAAAACAAAGGGTCGGGCACAGTGGTTCACGCCTGCAGTCCCAGAACTTTGGGAAGCCAAGGCAGGAGAACTGCTTGAGTCCAGGAGTTCAAGACCAGCCTGGGCAACATGGTGAAACCTCATCTGTACAAAAAATACAAAAAGTTAGCCAGACATGGTGTGTCACACTCAGAAGTTCAGTGTGGCAGGGGTCAGGGTTGGGTGAGGGAAGTGTTGGCAAAGAGGGTGACTTGGTTTGTAAGCTAAGCTGAGTGGAAGAGGGAGTTGGGTAGTTCAGCTGTGGGTGGTGGTGGCCGATTAGAGCTTTATTTTGTATGAAAATAACTGGGAGAGTGTGGAAGATGGGCTGTAGTAGGGAGACAGATGCTGGAGGGCCAAGTAGGTTATCCAAGTACATATGACAAAGATTGGTTCAAAAGCAGCAGCCATGGTAATACAGAAAAGGGGCAAGAGTATGAGTGAGAGTAAACACTGCTAAATGATATCAAATTTACAGAAGCAGAAGCCAACTTAAGATGGGAGGCAAGATCACGACTTCAGTTTGGGGCATGTTTGAGGTACTTCTAACACTGAATACTCTAGCAGCTGTCAAAGAGCCTGGTCTGGGGCTCAGGACAGAGGCCTGGGCTGGAGATGTACTATTTCAGAACTCTCAGTGATAAACAGGGTGAATGAAATCACATGGGGGAAATCTATGGCAAAATATAAAAGGAACACTTTGGAACAGGACAGCCTGGGTACACATGTGCTGGGACAAGAGAGGAGCCGACTGAAGAGACATAGGTGGGTTAGGGAAGGGGAAGTAGGAAAGAGGCAATGGGAAATGATAGAGAAGAGAAGGCTTTCAGAAGCAAAGAGGGGCAAGGTTGTCAAATGCAGTGACTCCTTAATAACATCTGGTACTTGTAAGCACTCCCTATGGCAGGCACTGCTCTGGGTGCTTTACATGTGTAATTTCATTTGCTCCCTACAACAACTCCAGTTGGTAGGAACTATCAACCTCCCACTTACAGAGAAGGCAGCTAAAATCCTGGGAAGTTAGGCAACTTGCCCAAAGTCACCCAGCTAGCTGGCTCTACAATGAATTCTTAATCACTATCCTAGGGATGGGACTCACTACAGGCCTTTAGATGTGTCAGAAGAGTAATGCAAGTGAAAACCTGATTACAATGAATTACAAAGTAAAAAGAGAGAGAGACAAGGTAAGCTGGCAAGGATTGCCAATTTCTCCTCTTAAAGTTGTCTGAGAGTAAATGCAAGAAAGCTAATTAGGAACTTGAGGCGTGGAAATGAAGAGGGATTTTTTTTGTCTTTCTGATGGGAGAGTGCAATCACATGTGTCATTTGTCCCACATTAATCCATCATTCCATGTGGTTGGGATGGGGTTGGGGAGTCCTCACTCTACTGCCCCAGCCTCAAGAGTAGGCATATAACCTGAGCCTTGCCAAAAAGCTAGCTTCAGTTGGGTTCAGTGGCACTCCTGGTAGTTACTCAGAGGCTAAGGCAGGAGGATCATGGAAGCCCAGAATGAAGTACAGCTGAGAAACATAGGACTTCTTTTTTTTTTTTTTTTTTT